TTGTTACATGATGCATGTCAGTCTGCAGGCAAGATCAGATTGCTACAAAAGATACAATTTTTACTGTAGTAAATTACCCAGATGGATTGATATTTTATAAGATATGAATGCAGGTGACTTTAGTAAGAATCGTATTTTCAACATCACGGCGCGCTTTATGAAGATCACGTTGCGACGTGCAACTGATGGTTGAGAATAGATTCATGTGAAGTTGGGGGCTTCTAGAAGCCTCACCCTTATATCCCTTTGAAATATCTGAGGCTTCAATGATGGTGCAGAACGAAGTCACTCGTTACAAATCTGTTTTTGGTGGCATATTTCAAGGAGGTTGAAAAAGAAAGGACGAGAAGCAGAGCAGACAATGTTCATGAAGGAATAGTTAAGGTGTGACAACTCAGTCTAATTCTCTTTTACTAAGGTATTTATTAAGAAAGAACATTCTAATATGTTAAAAAATATGTATAAACAAGGTAAGAGTGGATAAACAATTGACAAATGGAGGTGGTTCAGAAAGAAGCTGAAAGTATGGGATTATGTGTAGTTATAAAATATAAATCCGAAACCAGTGTTCTGATAAACAAATGGTTGTCTCCCTCTTTTTTCGAAGCTATTTGAGCCTTTTTTTGTAGATTTTATAGGGTTTTGAGCAGGCTTTGTTTTCATCCAATTAATGGCAAAATTCGCACAAAACGGTGATGGCGTGGCACCAAATGGGTGAACGGTCATTTGAAATTCCGATGGTTTCCTCGACATGTCTGCCCACTGACACCACAGAAATCCTAGAGCTACTCGATCAAACTCAGGAACCTTCACTTGCATGAATATTTCCCCAACATCCGCAGAGATTGCAACTGCCTCCTTGCGAAAACGCAATAATATGCACACTAGCTCAGCAGTGGTGTCGGGTCCTTGATAAATCATATCATTTAGGAAAGCCCTTGCAAACTTGGCGGCACAATCTAGGACCACCCCAAGTTCCTCTGGCTTTTTCGGGTTTGACACTGCATGATTAGTTAAATACCATCGAGGGCGATAATTTGGCTGCAATTGTATTTCAGGGACCTTCTCCTCTTAGCCCCTAGTAGTGAAGATGCCACAGGTATTCGGAGTTTGATAATACTTTAACTAGTACCACCCTCTAATATGAATCGTACCCACCAAGTGAAATCAAAAGACAGAAGCGAGGATGTCCGAAGATATATTTGATAGGCTATCAATATATCAAGGATCGTCTGATCTAATCTGGCTAGCGATTTCAGGGGTTCTTGAGCACGGCGTTCCCACTTGTGATCTGGTCGATATTCAGTGACCCAACTGACGGATGATTTGGCTAGGGTTCAGTGACATTTCACTGGACCTACAATACCCCCCACCAGATTCAACGGCCGTTTGAATCGGTATCAAACATGTTGGGAGTAGTCGCACACCGGAGAGTGCCAAACGATTATTATGAATCCCCCGGGCTGTAAGACAAAATGGAAAGTATGTGGCAGAGACTGATCAGGAAAACAGCGAGTCATAATATGTTAGTAGGAAGTTGGCTGAACATAAAGCGATTAACCATAGAAACAATAAAAACATAGCTTTTTATTGTTCTATCAAGTCGCGCTGAAATATATAGCGTTGACAAGTAATTCAGTTCCTCGGATGAGAAACATTAAGTTTGCCGCAAGAGTTATGATGCTATAGCGATAGTAGGATAAGTGTATTATCAATCGATATCCATATTTGTACTGTCATTAGTTTAAAGTTGTAAGTCGGACAGTGTCGTTGACAGCTATTAATTAGTGTCGAATTCTAGTTATATCTATATCTAACAGACTAACCGTAAGTACAGAAGTATAACAGTGAAGAGTGGTCGTTATTTCGTTGTGCGAAGCTACTGACCAACTTGTAGTCACAGTTTGAAAAGTCGATGACTGCTGTTACAGCCAGTAAGGATTGAAGGCTACAAATCCACAGCAAAGGTGGCACGATGAAGTCTCTAAAAGATGATAAACGGTGAATGCTGCGTGTTTGTTCGGTTAGTGAACAGAAAAATATCGAAAAGAACATAAGAAACCAAGAGTGTCACTCTGGACTCATGTCAATGATACCCGTGAAAAACGCTGTCAGTGTTGGGATAGAGGCGACAATATCGTTTTCAGTTTGCAGGAGATTCGCTCGACTGCATAAACTGATGATTCGCGCGAATGATATTGTCGTCAGATCACCAATTGAACTGGACAGGTTGTAAATCGTCGAGTAGTTGAACAGCCGATTGATGTACCGAAATCATCTGTTAAATAGCAGACACGAGGAAACAATGCTTCATAAAATAAAGTACGACATCGAAGTAGAATAACTACAATAGTTCAGATGTGTTACAATGTCAAGTCTAAATAACATCGTTCTTACGTATACTGACAGTTGCACTGAACGTTCGTTTAGGTATTATTAGCGTAACTGTTGGATGTGTGAATAAAAGCATATACGAGAACTATGGTTGGGTTCGTGGAGAATTTTCGAGGACGTTTAGATATTTTCCAAACCCGTATTGCATGTAAATAAACCGAAAATAGAATTAAAATGACTGTCGTGTAATAAGGAAATCGAGCCATTATTTACCGTTTGAAATAACAGCAAATACAAAGAGTATAGTAAACACTAAATAAAATGGTAACCACCAATGTAACTAAAGTTTAGAGGGTTCAGGTAACGTGGCCATTTCGTAAAAGGCTGATACAAGTAGCTTATTACCTAGCGTTAAGTGACATATTAAGTACGACAACGTGTGTACTTAGGACATGGACTAAATGTGCTTGTGTACATGCAATATGTTTTACCACAGTATGTCGACTAACGAGTCATAAATGTACATGATGTCGACTAATACTTGACGGCAGTGACAAAATATATGCCTACTTCAAGTGAAAGCATCTACAAAATGTTATCACGCATCATAAATATTATACAAAATAATCTAATTAATACCCAAACTATAATTAAAGATACGAAATGTCAATATGAGGTCACCTCAAGTCCTACGATATGACAAGGGGAAAAGGTTTAGGCGTTTTAATCTCTCATCGTAAGGGAGTTTAGAAAGACCCTTCCCACATGCTGGACACGCTCAAGCAAGTTATTATCCTTTACCAGACACGAGCTAGCTGCTTGGATACAGTATTCTAAATGTGGTCTTACATAGGTGAGATATAAAATTAAAAATATTTCCTCGTCAAAAGATTTGAACGCTCGGCGAAGTGACCCTGACGCACGAAAACCTTTGAGAGCGGCTGCGTTGCAATGCGTAGTTGTTTTCAAGTCATGACTTATTATTACTCCTTAGTCTCTATGTTCTTGAACGCATGGAAGGGGTTTACCACCAATAGTATAATGATAACTATTACCGTGACCGATGTTCATTAGCACACTTTTCCTAGAATTGATTTCTGAGCCCCAACCTCGAGCCTGTGGTGGTCCCCAAACAAAAGGAGCTTACACAAATTATATTGATACACTAGGTTAACAATGACATACCAAAACAAATTATTGATTAAGAAACCTAGATGTCTGTCCGTTAGTAAAAACAAAGGTAATAAAATACCGTTAGCAATACAAAAGGTATATTAAACAAAACAGACGCTAACAGTTACTATAGAATGAATGTTACTTGTTAACTGCCTCGTGAGGATAACGACCACAAACTGAGTTCACTTGATTGACAGGTATTCCTCTGCAAGTGACTGCACCAAAGACGTAATGAGGAAGACGGAGTCCAATAGTATTATACAATAGTAATCCGTGCCAAAAGTCCAACGTTGAGTCGGAAGGCCTATAATGATGTTATAATACTATTATAGTCTTCAATCAAATCGGTGGCCAATAAAACAGAAGAACAAACGGGGTAGGTATTGTTCTATATTTTAAACAACCCGGTAGAAGAAGTGTATATCATTCATCGAAACAATTATCATCGTCTTTTTAACAAGTGATACAGCAAAACAACAGATATTGGATAAAAATGTGGTTACAAATAAAGTGTGACAAATTAGAGAAAAAATGTGGTTTTTATTTTTGTTGTTACAAAAATCACTGAATATATGTCACCATATAACTCCCCCCCTAGGGCATGCGTCGGTGGAAGTATGCCCGACGTAAAACTTTAAATGCTTTGAAGGTAGGAGAAAATTACACAACGAAAAGGGTAAACAAATGTTATTTTAAAAACATCATACGTGTATATATATTCAAAAACAAAATGTTTCTCTTGTAGTAAAGAGACTTTAATGTATATAAAAAGTTTAACAAGAATAACGAAGTGTATGATAATAACAATAATAATAATAATAATAATAATAATAATAATAATAATAATAGTATCATTAGTAATAACAGTAATTAAATTGAGAGTTCACCGAAGTGCAAATAAATGTAGAAATTGTGTAAACAATTAGTGATAAACTGAATAAGTCCAACGAAATTGGATATATTTGCACAATTAATATTAAACATCATATGAAACGCATACACATGTAGAGAAAAACATAATAAAGTTATCAATATTAGTAGTACACAAGAAATTTTTTTTTTTAAAATGCTTGCAAAAAAAATGTTATTAGTAACTCTGCTAATATAGATATTTAATCACATTACAGGTAATGACTGAATAAAGGTTAAGTAATTAATTCAACATAACGTTTAGGAAAATGTACATGTCTTCCAGAACGAGTTGTTTTCGTAGAAGGTAAGGTGTCGGAACTAGGATTTAAGTTTGTGGGAACTGTAACCTTAGAACCGTCTGTTTTACGAAATATTGATTTCGTAGGAGTTGGTGAAGAATTATTTGGAAAGTCTGGAAGCTGCGTTGTGTGATTGCCGCTGTCTTTAGACGGCTTTCGGTTGTCATGTGTTTCAGATTCTATAAAAGCAGGTTTTATCCTGTCGATAGAAACTGTTTCTTTTTTTCCGTTCTTATTGATTGTGAAATATTTTGTTTGCCTCTCAACTACTTCATATGATCCTTCATAAGGATGTTGTAGAGGACGTCTTACGGAGTCAACACGAACAAATACAAATTTACACGTATTTAGATGCTTGCTAACTTGCTCTTTTAAGACAACTGGCCGAGGTGCAACAGGCTTAATGTTATTCATATGGCTCATTAGTCTTTCGCAAAAAGAAGTGGGATCCGTACATACGGGTTTGCCATTATGCGTCACTAGCTGCCCCGGTAAGGTTAAATTAGTTCCATAGACGAGCTGTGCAGGAGTACATTGTAGGTCTTCTTTAATTGTGGAACGTATGCTTAGTAAAATAAGAGGTAGAGATTCACTCCATCTAGAAACATCCGGTTGTACCATCAATGAGCTTTTTAGTTGTCTGTGGAATCGTTCCACTAGTCCATTCGCTGCTGGATGGTATGCTGTTGTAGTGATGTGATGGATTCCTAAAATGCGGGTGAATTCATTGAAGAGGTGAGATTGGAACTGTGAACCTCTGTCAGAAGTAACTGTAGAAGGTACACCAAAATTAGCGATCCATCTGTCGAGGAATACAGCAGCAATATTTTCCGCGGAGATATCTTTTATTGGGCATGCAATTGGCCATCTAGTGAAACGGTCCACTGCAGTAAAAATGTAAGTGAATCCGTTAGATGGAGGAAGAGGACCAACTAAATCAACATGAACATGTTGAAAACGATGGTCGGGTAGACTAAATGCTGACGGTGTTGTAATCGTATGTCTATGTATTTTACTGCGCTGACACTGTACACAAGTCCTGGTCCATTTTTTTATATTTGCATTCATCTTTGGCCAAACAAATCTTTCAGCAATCAATTTCACAGTAGCACGAATCCCTGGATGGGATAGTGAGTGAAGACAATCAAAAACTCTTTTTCTGTACACTATTGGCACAAAAGGTCTGTGAGTTCCAGTAGAAGTATCACAAATGATAGTAGAGTCAGAATGCGGTATAGGAACACTTTTTAAGGACAAGCTCGAACTTTGTTTACAAGCATCAAGGTCGGGATCATCTGTCTGCAAACGTGCCATGTCTGATAAATCGATTCCTTTGGTGAAGGAAATTGCATCGACGTTGAAACGTGACAAAGTATCCGCAACAACATTTGACTCACCTTTTATAAACTGTATGTTGGTCGAAAATTGGGAAATATAATCCAATTGTCGCATTTCTCTAGGGGAATAACGGTCACTTTTCGCGTTAAAGGCATAGGTTAAAGGTTTGTGATCAGTGAGTATCACAAAGTCTCTGCCTTGCAGTAAATGGTTGAAATGTTTAACAGCTAGATAAATAGCCAATAGTTCTCTACCGAAAGTGCTATATCGAGTTTGGGTTGGTTCTAGCTTCTTTGAAAAGAAGGCAAGTGGTTTGACCTCATTATTAACTCGCTGTTGTAGTACTGCACCTACTGCTGCCTGTGATGCATCTGTACACAGGATTAGTGTTGCTTCCGGGTCAGGGCTTAAGTAGGTCAGCATGGTAGTAGAAGCGATTGCTGTTTTAGCTGCAGAAAAGGCATCTTTCGCTTGGGAGGGTAATGTGAACTTTTTGACTTTACCTTTTAACACCTCCGTCAAAGGTTGTAGGATGGCTGAGCAATGTGGAATAAAGCGACGATAAAAATTGATCATCCCCAAGAAACGTCGAAGTTTATTCCATGAGTCTGGTTCTGGAAAACTCTTGATGGCTTCTATTTTTGTATCCAAAGGTTTAATTCCACGTTTGTCGATCAAGTGACCTAAAAACTCTAAACTCTCAACTCCGAAAATACATTTGGATGGGTTAATCACTATGCCATATTTCTGAAATCTTTCGAATAATTGATGTAGGTGATCAGCGTGTTCATGGATCGAACTGCTAGCTATTAAGACATCATCAATATACACGAAAACAAAATCTAGGCCTTTAGTGACCTCATCCATAAATCGTTGAAATGTTTGTGCGGCGTTCTTCAATCCAAAAGGCATTCTTAGGAATTCAAACAAACCAAATGGAGTAATGATGGCTGTTTTTGCTATGTCCTCGGATGCTACTGGAATCTGGTGGTACGCTCGCACAAGATCAATTTTAGAAAAAATTTGCTTGCCATGTAAAGTGAGAGAAAAATCATGTAAATGAGGGATTGGGTAGCGATCCGGTAATGTTAGGTTGTTCAATGATCTATAATCACCACAAGGTCGCCAATCTTGGTCTCGCTTGGGCACCATGTGGAGTGGGGATGCCCAGGGGCTACTTGACGGGCGTATTATACCCAGCTGCATCATATGATCAAACTCAGCTTTTGCAACATTCAGTTTGTCTGGTGGTAATCGGCGTGGACGTGCCGAAGTTGGTTGACCCTTTGTGATCATCCGGTGTACTACAGAATGTTGGACAGTGTTTTCACTGTAGTCTGGTTTCGTTATTTTGGGAAATTTAGATAGAATGGTGGCGAATATGTCGTTCCCTGGGGTGTCAATTTTAATACTATGTATGTGGTAGTCCGACTGAATTCCCTGGATTTGAAGGTTTGTGCAGGAATCAATAAGTTTTCTTCTCTTAACGTCAACTAGTAGGTTGTAGAAACTGAGAAAATCTGCACCTAGTATAGGGTGACGGACATCCGCAATAATAAACACCCAGGTTAAATTACGTCTAATTCCCAAGTCTAATGTTAGAAATTGTTCGCCAAATGTCTTTATTTCGGTTTTATTAGCTGCCCTTAGGGTATATTTTCCACTCTTAGCAATAGGTTTATTGGCTAAGGTAACTGGGATGACACTAACCTCAGCTCCAGTATCTACTAAGAATTTGTACCCTGAAGTTTTATCAAGAACGTGGAAAAGACGAGTAGGCGCACGACCAGAAACATTTGTCGCTACCATGGTTTGGTTGACACGTTTTGGTGAGGAAAATGACTTGAAAAATTTACAAGACGTAACACATTTCCTAGCTTTGTCACCATATTTTTTATGGTACCAACATATGTTGTCGTCGTTTTTGTTTCCTTTTGAGTTATCTCGATTCTTACTCCCTCGAGAACTAGAGCGAGGTCTTGTAGATGTGAAGTTGGAGATTAATAATTGTAATGCATCCAGTTTATTTTCAAGAGTGGCGACAGTTCGTTCATGTTGTGCTCGTAGTTCGCCTAGTTCAGCAGTTAACGATGCTATGGTGGGAGTTTGCTTATCGTTCGAAGTTTCTAATATTGCCTGTACGTAAGGTGTAGTACAGGGTGTAACTTCTAAAATTTTATCCGCCATGCTAGCAAGACTTTCTAAATCTGATGGTTGGCTAGAGGCGCAAAGAATTTGCCTAACTACTGTTGGCAAACGTTGTAGCCAAATTTCCTTGAGAAAGGCGTCATCAAATTTATAAGGGCCAGCTAACTGTCTCATGTGTCGTAATAATTGAGACGGTGATTTGTCGCCTAGCTCACATACGTGTAGTAATTGCTGTAATCTCTTTTCATCAGATAATGAGGTACGTTGAATAATTGCCAGCTTCAATTGATCATATGGATTAGGTGCAGGAATATTATCTATCAAATCTGACACCTCAGATGCAACTTCAGTGGGTAGTAATCCAAGCACAAAAGAGTATTTAGATGCCTGTGAGCGTATGTTGCGACGCTGAAATTGTATTTCTACTTGCGCAAACCAAATGCGAGGATTTAATCGGCTGAATGGGGGCACATTTATCAAATTTAGAACATGTAGCTCTGCTGAAATGTTATCCTGGCTAATGCCTTCAGTTTCGGATGAGTACATTACGAATATAAGAAAATTTAAATACTACCAAGGGTAAAAAAACGCCGTAATGTCTGTAAGTGAACTCAAAAGTAGTTGAGAGAGAAAAAAAAAGTTTTACGGGCTCACCAAATTTGTGGTGGTCCCCAAACAAAAGGAGCTTACACAAATTATATTGATACACTAGGTTAACAATGACATACCAAAACAAATTATTGATTAAGAAACCTAGATGTCTGTCCGTTAGTAAAAACAAAGGTAATAAAATACCGTTAGCAATACAAAAGGTATATTAAACAAAACAGACGCTAACAGTTACTATAGAATGAATGTTACTTGTTAACTGCCTCGTGAGGATAACGACCACAAACTGAGTTCACTTGATTGACAGGTATTCCTCTGCAAGTGACTGCACCAAAGACGTAATGAGGAAGACGGAGTCCAATAGTATTATACAATAGTAATCCGTGCCAAAAGTCCAACGTTGAGTCGGAAGGCCTATAATGATGTTATAATACTATTATAGTCTTCAATCAAATCGGTGGCCAATAAAACAGAAGAACAAACGGGGTAGGTATTGTTCTATATTTTAAACAACCCGGTAGAAGAAGTGTATATCATTCATCGAAACAATTATCATCGTCTTTTTAACAAGTGATACAGCAAAACAACAGATATTGGATAAAAATGTGGTTACAAATAAAGTGTGACAAATTAGAGAAAAAATGTGGTTTTTATTTTTGTTGTTACAAAAATCACTGAATATATGTCACCATGAGCCCATCTGACCAAATCGTCTAAGTCAGCTTGGAGATCCAGATGATCAGCCTCACTTTTTATTGTTCGCCAGATTTTTACGTCATCCGCAAACAATAATGTCGACGACCTAAGCAACAGCGGTAACTCGCTAACGTAGAGAAGGAAGAGGAATTACCAATTTTTTCGTCTGATCTATTATAGTTAATATACCTAGGTTCCTGTCTGGAGGTATTGATGATCTGAATCTGAAATATGAATCTGAATCACTAGATACGGAAGCCTGTTAAGCGAAAGCTTCTTCTATTCCGTCCACAACCATTTGAACCATTTGAACCATTTGAACCATTTTAAATGTAGTGCTACGATGTCAATAACGGGTCCACCGGTTGAGAATCTGGACAAGTCAAAGGGGTTATGGAGGTGTGAATGTTGTTGTAATATTCTTACATTTTTAGAGCAGCCTATGTTCTAATAAAGAAGTTGGATACTGTTTATCATGGTGGGAAGGCGATTAAAACAGTCTTCAGTTATGAGGCTTATGGGCATAGGTTGAGGTTTGAAGTTATTTCTCTTTTATACCACCATAGACTAAAGGAACTACTTCAGAAACTCATGTTTATGGATTTAGGCACGAATTTTCGAAGAACCGAGGAGCTTATTTGGCGCAAAGCATTTTACGAACCTTATTTCCTGTATAAAGTTTACATTAAGGTACCCAAATTAAGAGGCATTTTCTTAAACAAATTCAGAACAATGATCAACAAGACCGTATCAAGTTGTTTGAGAATATGCTTGTCGTCCATATCCTCAGTGCTATAGGATACTATCAGTCTCTCATTTTAGCTTTCCAATCAGAGTTAGGAGATACACAATCTAATAACTTATGTTCATGGACCCCAATAGCTTTGCATATCCCTCTTTACTGTGGTAAGTCGTGTTGTTTGCTTAAGTTTTGTCTGAGGAGTGTTCTTTGAGTTTGAGGAAAAGCATAATCCCTCTGTGGAGAATAAGTCTGCAGTTATCAAGTTGATACACAAATGTCTGACAAATATCGGAGACCTATGTACGTTGTTCATACATATATGACATACACAGTTCGCTATCTAATTGATTTCGGTGATTCTAACGCTAAGCGACTTGCTTATCGATATTACAAAGCGGCTTTTTATTTTGATCCTCTTATGGGTAAGTACCATATCTATTAATATATAATATATATCAGAAACAAGATTTAGTGGTGTTCCCGTTCATACTTTTTGCTTTGGGGTTTGTTTTTGCCAAGTGCTTTTGTCTGACAGATAGTCTTATTACTAAGTTTCTCGTTCTGTTTCGGCAAGTATGACTCAATAGACTTCAATTGTTACCCGTCGTTTATATAGTGTTCATGTAGACATCTTTCCCCAGTTGGATTAATGCGACTTTCTGGGCGAAGCTATGTCAGTTTTAGAGCATTGAACTTCTACCCTGCAATAAAACACGTAATATGACGGTTAAGAATTAAGTTTAATAGTTGTCTTAATTCCCTGAAGACGTACGTGCGAAGTTCTACGTTGTTACTGACTGACTGACTGACTGACACCCTGAAGAGTTTTTTAGTTTACAAAATTTTCACTGTCCAGTCGTTTATAACAACCAATCTTTTTTACTTATTCGCATTTTATTTATAAGCATTTCATTCTATTAAATAGGCAACCAGTACATTGGGTCAGTGTATTGTATTCTAATATAAGTTTACTGGGGCTTGCGTCCATAATTTGGTCTCGTGGTCAGTTTTCATATGGTCAAATATATCGGTTGGGATCTAGTTCACTTTAAGTTTCAAAACTTGTTCATAAAACCTGCCATAACAACAAGTATGTTAATTTTTAAGCTTAAATATGTTTACAGAACTAATGTGAGCTAAAAGTAATCTAGTAAACATAAAAGGTTCATACACTGAGCAAAACATATGTGCTAATACGTGCATGACAAGTTTCATAAAGCAACTGTTGTATTTGGTCATACAGTGAAACATGTAAGTCAGAAAACGTTAGGTGATAGAATGTAAAGACATTTTGATATCCTCATAATTAGTGTTTACTATTTTGAAACGAAACAATAGTTTTGATCACCTGACCTCATTCTGTCACGCTATTATCAGGTTATAGTATGTGGAGTTTTGAGCCTTTTTCAGCAGATAATATTCGAAATGCACTACTAGATATGGTTATTTTAGGTAAAACGTTAATCATATCAGGTGTTTTGAATTTCCCTCACTATTATATTTACTCAACGTATGTACTTGTGATGTTTACCGTCTGTTTAAATGATTGGGGCCAAGCGAAGGTTAACTTGTGAAAAATGTAGATATTTCTATTGATATATTACCAATAAATAGAGGCAACTTATTGGTATCAGTGATTTTGATGTGTGTTGTGAAGTGTTATTCACACCATATCTATGTGGCCATTGACTTATGCTTTTCTCTAAGCTGTTTCATCCATGTCTCCAAATATCCTCTTTTTTCGCCAGGACTGCCTCACAATCAATTGGGCATTTTAGATGTTGGACGTTGCTACGGCCTAAATGCCGTTTTCCATTATTTACGTTGCTTAACATCCCGTTCGCCTTTTGAGGGTGCTAAAGGAAATCTCATCACTGTATTGGCTAAAAATGAGCTTCGTTATGGTATAATTATTCGCGAAAAGCCGTCTAAAAGTTCACGCATCCGATATGCTTCTTATTTCAGGTGAGCGTATTATTTGTACTTAGTCATTTATATTTGTAAGGTGTTTCATGGTAACTTCAGTAAAAACTAGAAAGAATAAATGACCATTATAAACATCTGAACCATATATTTGTTCGAGTTATCGTATTTCGCATTGCGTAGTGTGTTTAAGCGGAATAAATTTCACTAAACAAATTCATCATTCCTACAAACCCCAGACCATACCTACTGCGGTGCACATAACATCTTTCACAAAACCCGATTCGTAAACTTGTGCAACGGTTGGGCTAGCTTATCTAAACACCACCACCTATAACCTAAGTATTTATTACTTGGAAATGCTGACACAATAAAGATGCTTCTTAAAAAATCATTATCAAATCCTGTTATTTTTTTCACCCATCTTTAACTATTCACCAAGTAGAGATTGGCTTATTGTTTTAGATTCCCTAATGTCCCATTTATATTGAAGGTTTTTTAAGCTTAAAAGTGTCATAAAAAGTCTCAGTATTTGTTTTGAAATCACTAACCTTTCAAGGCGGATGCAGTATCTAACGTAAATTAGTCACATTCAGATTCCTTACTATGGCCTTGTACTGAACATCCGAAAATAATCCTAAAGTAAATTTTTGGATTTTGGAGATAAAGAGCATGGATCTTTCATCCTCATACTATGTTGCGGTAGTCCTTATCTTCGCGTGATAAACTTGAGATTTAAGAAATTATATCACTCAGTCGTCTTAAAAGTTTACTTATACTAAACATATAATTTTTTAATGATCATTCTTACAATCAACTTTTTTGTTGCTTTTTAGACCAAAAGATTTCCGGAAGACTATCATGAAATTCATCTACCTAATTCAGCAGTTCCTGAAACCTGTAGAGTATGGGTCGTTTTCCATTGAGTATTCATAGATTTTGTTATTTGAATAGAATATATTTTAGTTAATTTACTTCAAAAGGTCATAAAATACTTATTGATACTATGGTGCAACAGTGTTTAAACACTATCAAGCTGCAAACTGGCATCCGATTCCAAATAGTTCATTTTGGGTAGCCAGACAAGATCGTTATCCTCTACAAGAATGCGTTACTCGAAGTTAAGTCCACACCCCTTACCTGGTCACTGAGTTACTTGTTAAAAAAATCAAAACTAATTTATTCGTAGCAATGTACAGCTTTATCAATTACAGTATTTTTATTAGAGATAAAAGTTGCATGTGCTAACAAAGAAAATTTAGTTTGTAGCATTAATTTTTAGGTCATATTTCGGCAATCTCTGCAATTTTTTCATTGGTGATTTGACCAAAATTAGTAGTTTGTTACCATATATTTATTACTGTTTATCTATACCCTGATGTCGGCAAAAGAGGGAGTGAAAGACTCAAAACTAAATTATTCAGCTGAGGGAATACAGCATTTTGATAAAATATGAAAGACATAGGAACTGGAAAATAAAAAGATGGTCAGAAAGTTTAACATTTATGTAAGGCTTGTCGAAATATTCTCTTATTCCCCTGGAGTTTCTTTTATTGTTTAGTTTAAATATGAAGATAAAAAATATTGTGTACTCTTCTTAATTAATCGTGTTTTAACTCAGATTCCCCCGTCTTTTGAATCGCTGTCCTAAGGTTAAAATGTGCTAACACATACTAATCAATCGCCTATTCTATAGATCTGAGTTACAGACTGACCTAGCTTTTCGATGATTTATGGTGCTCGGAAAAATATTTGGTCTATAAAGCGTTTGAGTAGGATATACAGGAAATATTCCGGATTTCTTAGTCGAAGGTCTAGTGTTCATCACTCAAAGTGCAGACGTTGAACGAGACACTAGTTGACTTTTATTTCCTCAGTAGTCGAGTAAAGGGTTGGAATTCATGCTATCTGTAAGGGTAAATTATTTGAAGGATGAAATTTATATGGATCAAAACTTTTGGCAGTATAGATATACTGAGTGAAGTAAAGATGATATGGTTTATAAGCGATTTACAGATGAACACCATATATTTCCTCAAAATATGAGTCTTGGTCCAAACAACTTTAGTACATGTGAGTGATATGAAACCTTGTTTTTATTATCTGCTACACTAGCTTGCGTTAAGAGCCACATTACTTCTTACATATCTTAATCGAACGTTTTAGGTTGTTATAACTAGAAACTTCCTAAACGTTTGACTCAAAACCGAATTCTTCAATACTACAGATTGCAGTCAGAGTGCACTTCCATTTAGAAGTCCATAACCACAACAGCTCCACACATAATCGCTTCTGTAGGGTTTGGGGCTTGCTCATTTCGTCATCCACAATTAAAGGGTCATTCATATGCTGATTTATTTATGTTGTCAATGTTAGAAATCATAAGATCTTATTAAAATTCAGAAAGATTTTATAATGTCAAACATTTTTACTTTGTATTTCCCTCCAAAGGTCTAGGGATCCCGCAACAGAAAATATTTTTCATGATGTACTTGCGGAACTACATTCTTCGTTACTACTTACTGATCATTTAACTGTACGGTCTGAAAGTATTACTTATTCAGAACATACCAATACCAAGTATTTAAAAATGGGCGAAGTTAAAGAAAAACCAGATCGTGTAGATGAAACATCTGATCAGTTGACAGGACCTATTTTTATTAGAATGCTACTTATTTCTATACTTACTTATGAGTATATACACCAGCTTAACTTAGAAGATCGCAATAAATCAAGTGGGAAAAAATTAGACGAAAATTCAAATATAGAAAGCAATTCTCCTCAACAATCTAAAATCACTTCAGCCTCTACCAGTTTGATGACTGGTGAAGAAGAAAAAGCCATTCAGGTATGCAAATTCTATTGGTTTAGAACCTTATGTCCCTTAAAAGTGGATTGGCTAGTTTTTCTTTCAAAAAGTTTTGCATCATAAATTGAAGCTGTAAAACGTACACTTTCACTTTTACTGAGTCTTTAGTTGCTTGTATAACAAATCTATTTTTTTAAAACGGAGTATTGCCAACTAAACATTCGCGGTAATTATGTGTAGCCTAATGTTATAAAAGTAAAATGACTTTAGATTTGCATTCTTTGTAAATCTAGAATCTAATCACTTACCAGTTCAACCAAAAATGTTGACTACACTTTTTTTATAAAAACACAGTGACTGGTTTTTTTGTACAAACCAGGAATACAAACACCGTTTCCCAATCAAAACAAAGTCACATATTTTTGAGAACATATGTATCTGAGTTAGGAAAAGGCATTTGTTACTGAGAACTGAAAATCTAAAATCTGGAATATATGGTTTTAGTAGTTTTACTGTGTCCATATCAAAGAAATCTCGCTGTATCAAAAACAGTTTCAGAATATCTGCACTATCTAATGAAATCTTTAAATATAGTGTAAAATAATTGAATTGAATATATAGTTTCCGTCATTCCGAAAGGTCTCGTGTATTGTTATAGGTGTTTGGGCAATTTTCACTTTCCGGTTGCCCACACCATAGACACTTTTTGAGATACGTAAAAAGAAAACAAAGTTATGGGGGTTCTTGAAGACTTGAGGGCGTAACCACAGAGCCTAAGGAACAATTACACTTCATACACAGCCTTTTTGCTACTAGCTTCAAATGTGTTAGCTCTGCACTTTAAAGGCCTTATCGTTAGAAAGAGAAATCTGTGAGACATAAGTGATGCCAATAAATGAAGATATAAAATTAGGCAATCGAGCTTATGGAGTCAAACAACTTTGTAATGAAAGCGGATGGTTCCTGATGATATTGGATGTTAGTGGACCTGTAATGCTAACGAAGTGAATTTTGTAAGACACGCAATTAAATTCCAGCTCAGTTACTGGACATTAACATTATCGTTGATAGATCTGATCATTCTGAGTCCAGTCCTAAATTAAGTAGAGAGTGTTTATTGCTCATGAGGACAAAACAACTGTTCAATGCTCTAGGATTTTCAATTGTTTTCTATTTGGAATCACTGTTAATAAGTATTTGCAAACTATAAAAATATCGATTGATTTTAATACACATGAAATGTCTATTAGTTGTTTTTTAATCGTGTTATCCGTGCGCTTTCCGAAGGATACGTTTGCTTCTCTTAAAACTTTCTTCTCCTTTACCTAAATATATGACTTACTTATTAACTTATACCCATTTAATAGGGTATTTAGTTTGTTTTAGGATTTTAAATGGATCGTTCTGTACCGGTCAACTTGGTCTTTATAAAATATCAGCCTTTTTCACAATAGTTTTAATTTAGTAGTGTCGGATACTCATACTGTAGTCCGAAATCCTTCGAAAAAAACAAGTCGCTTTCACACTACGTCAGGTTCTAGAACATAGACACACATTCAGTCGCCCCACAATCGTAGTATTTCTCGACCTTAGGGCGGCATTCGACTCTGTTGATCGTGAGGTTCTATGGCAGTGTTTGTCACTGAAAGGAGTACCAAAGTACACTAACCTTATAAAGGCTCTCTACTCGAACACAACTGGTGAAGTGAGAGCTTATGGCGAACTGTCATCAGAATTGATTACCTCAAGTGGTGTTCGTCAGGGCTGTCCACTCTCTCCATTCTTGTTTGACTCTATCGTAAACGTGCTTTTAGAGATAACACTTCCCTCATCTAAATTTCCAGGGGTTGAAGTTCTACCGGGAGCTTCACTTGTTGACTTAGAATATGCCGAAGACAGTTTTATTTGATGAAGACGCTGACAAAATGCAGAGTCTTCTGACTACTCTAAGCAACAATGCAAGCATGTTCAAGATGCGATTCTCCCCGTCGAAATGCAAAATATTGCTTCAGGATTGGGTTGTATCGGCACCTGAACTAATGATAGTCAGTCAGTCAGTCAGCTACAACATAGGACCAGGCACATATGTGCATCGGTCCAGGTTGCCATACCTCATTAGCACAACAAGATGGACACCGGATTCATAGGAGTGGTTAGGTCAAAGGTTGCAATAAGGATATAGTATAGGAAGGAAGAATTAGTTCGTAGAAAGAAAGATATGAAGTGATTTTAATCTCATAGTTTAAGGGAAGACAAAGAGTGTATACACCGACGCCATTGTGATCGATTCTGAGCCATGTCACCAAGAGTCTCCAACCATTGGTTACGAAAGTCACGCGGACCCCGACCAAGTAGTCTGCATCTACCAACATGGCTAAGACTATAAGTTAGTGACTTCAAGCACTGATGCCACGTTTTGGTTTGGCCGCCCCTAACTTTCTTCCAACCATCCCCTACACCGGTTAGCATTGCACGTCGTGGTAATCGGTGTTCAGGCATACGTAATACGTGGCCCAACCATCTCAGTCGATGAAGATTCATAACCTCATCAACTGATTTACCATCATTCCCTAATACCCTGCGTCTAACCTCACTATTACTTACCCGGTGATCCCAGCAGATGCCAGCAATATTTCTGAGGCATCTGTGGTCGAATACTAGTAGCTTACGAGTGTCTTCTACTCTTAAAGGCCATGTTTCGCTGCCGTAAAGTAAGACAGAACGGACTGCCGCGCAGTATACTCGTCCTTTTATTGATAGGCGGATATTTCGCCTCCGCCAAAGGTGACGTAAGTTGGCAAAAGCCAAACGGGCTTTTCGAATCCGTGCTGAGATTTCGTCAGACACCAACCCATTAGGGCTGATCAGACTTCCAAGATAAGTGAAGTTGTCGACGCGTTCGACTACTTCACTCCCTATCCTTAGTTTATGTGTTGACGCAGACCAGTCCTGAAGCAACAACTTGCATTTAGAGGGAGAGAAGCGCATCCCAAACATTCTGGCATTGTTGCTTAGTGCTACCAGAAGACTCTGCATTTTGTCAGCGTCTTCACCAAAGAGGACTATATCATCTGCGTATTCTAAGTCGATAAGTGGACCTCCTGGAAGGAGATCAATACCCGAGAATTCAGTCGACGAGAGTGTTATTTCCATCAATAGGTCTATGATGAAGTTAAACAAAAATGGAGAAAGTGGACAGCCTTGACGGACACCACTTGAGGTTGCAAAAGTAGATGACAGTTCGCCATAAGCCCTGACTCGACTAGTAGTGTTCGAGTAAAGAGCCTTCACAAGGTTTATGTACTTCTGAGGTACGCCTTTCAATGACAGACACTGCCACAGAGTCTCGCGGTCTACAGAGTCAAACGCTGCTTTTAAGTCAAGAAAGACCACCATCGTCGGACGCCGATAGGTATGCCTGTGTTCTAGAACCTGACGAATGGTGAATTTGTGGTCGATGCAGCCACGACCAGGTCTAAAGCCAGCTTGGTTCTCTCGAGTTTGTAGTTCACGAGTCTTAGTTAGGCGTTTGATAATTATCGAGGCCAGTATTTTAGATACTATGTTTGTTAAACTAATCCCTCTGTGGTTGTCACAGGATGATTTTGACCCTTTCTTATATATTGGGACGATGAGTGATTGCGACCAGTCAGATGGGATAAAGTCTAATTCCCAGATCTTAGCTAAAATATTAGTCAACCTAATCGCTAAAATTGGACCACCATCCTTAAAGACCTCTAGAGCCAATCCATCTGGACCAGCTGCCTTTCCTCGTTTCAGATTAACTATAGCCTTTTGAACTTCAGCAGGAGTTGGGGGACCTACTTCAATGTTCCATTCACATTGTCTGGGAATGGAGGGTAGTTGTAGAGTTGCTGAAGGCCAGCTGAACTGTTCTCTAAAATGTTCCGCCCATCGTTCTAAACGTCTGGACTGGGAGCAGATGAGAGTATCATCTTTTTCCGAAATAATCTCACTTACACTTGACTTATTAATTCCAGTTTCTTTTATTAGTCTGTAAAGCTGTCTTGTGTTCCCTATAGTCGCCGCCTTTTCCATCTCTTTTGCTTTCGTTACCCACCACTGCTCACGGTCGTTCCTTAGGCTTTTTCTTAACCTAGATCTGATTTGTTTTCGCTCTTCATCATGTTCAGAACCTGATGGGACGAGTTTGCGAGAATCCATCAGTGTGACAGACCTTGAAGAAATCCACTGGTTCCTTGCAACTCTGTGGTTTAAGTTACTAATAGATGTCACTGCTGTTTCCACAGCTGATTGTATGCCCTTCCAAGCAACATCTGGGTCAGCCTCGTCTTCACAACTACCTAAGTGTGACCTCAGTTGTTCCTGGAACCTACTTTTGGTTTTCTCGCTACTCAATTCAGTTCTAATGGGTCTTTTTACCGAGGCTTTTTTGCGTCCAGTGAGGCGCAAGCAGATGCGTGCCCGTATTAGGGCGTGGTCGGAGTCCAAGCAGGTACTCCAGAATGAGCGACAATCTTTTACCGACCCTCTCCAACGATGTCTGATGGCAATATGGTCTATTTGAGTCCATCGTTGGTTTGGTGTAGGGGGTCGCCATGTTAGACGATGTCTCTCCTTATGCTTAAAATTTGTGTTTGCTAAAAATAAGCGATTGTCTGAGCACAGTTGCAGCAGACGGTCACCATTATCTGTTCGCTGTGCCAGAATGCTAAAATATCCACCTAAATGCCTTTCTGTTTGGTTTAAGCTACCTATCTGAGCATTAAAATCACCTGCTACGAGTACTATGTCTGAGCGTTTAGCTTTCTGAAGAAGTTCAGAAAGCTTTCTGTAAAATTCATCTTTCACTTCATCTGAGCTGCAGTCAGTGGGAGCGTAGACAGAAACGACAAAAAGGCAACGACGTGTGTCCCTATCCTTCCGATTTCTTACGGAGCCGTTTAGCCGAACAGCACATAAACGACTGTTAACGGGGATCCACTCTAGCAGTGCTTGTTCCGACCTCATGCTTAGTGCTATGCCTACACCAGCCAGTCCACGAGAACTGGCCATCGTGTCACCAGATACACGAAGGGTGTATCTCGTTGGCTCTCCGTTCTGCCGAGGTGAGATCAAGTGGATGACCACACTGGGATCCTGTATGCGTGTTTCAGAGACACAGCATACATCATTGGAAAGAGACTCTAGGGTTTTAGCCAAGGAAGCCTGCCGACCGATTTGACATATAGTGCGTACGTTGAAAGCTCCAATGTGTAGTTTGGAGCGAGGTTTCAGTAGACCTGGGACAGAGTTTTGAGCACTAGAATCGTTGGCTATGGTGACACTTGAGGAGGAAGCCGAAGGAGGAAGTTTAGGGTTGAAAGTCGATGTAGGAGGAATAATAGGAATTGAAGAGGAAGGTTGATTATGAATACAGTGGTCTTGGGTGCTGTTAGAGGTATGAGGGCGGTTATCACTTCCCGGTTGCCCACACCGTGAAAGGGTTCTTCTGGAGGTACCTGAAAAGGAAATTGGATTAGAGGTGGTCTCAGTGACCTGAGAGCGTGACCGCAGTGCCCAAGGGACAACTGCTTGAGGCCGGTCGCGCACGGCCTTTTCTTGGAAGGTTTTCGACGTGTTAGCTCCGTTCTTCAAAGGGCCTTACCGCCGGAGACGGGAATCCGTGAGGTAAGGTGAGGTGTGCATTTTTAGGGTCGACCTTTTCTAACCCCACCCCTCCTTGTGGGAAGGCAGCATCGCTGTCATGCTGGTTGTCTGAAGGAAACACCTTACTGCTGTCACACCTCTGTACAGTCAGCAGTACGACTTCGCCTTCGGACCTTTGGTTTGTTGCTTTTAGTCTTACCGCTCTTCAACCGACCTGTCTGACATGGTAGGACCTTGAGGAACGGTTGTTCTAGCCAGTATAGCTCGGTTGCTTCATCACGATAGGCAAACCCGACCACCACGTCAAGGTAGCAACAACGGTCGGGGAACTAATGATAGAGAGTGAAGTAGTTGAGCGTGTCGACCGCTTCACTTATCTTGGAAGTCTCATCTGCCCTTGTGGTCTGGTGTGTGACGAAATCTCAGCACGGATACAGAAGGCTCGACTAGCTTTTGCCAACTTGCGTCATTTATGGCGTAGGCGAGATATCCTTCTATCAACCAAAGGATGTGTTTACTGCGCAGCAGTTCGTCCCGTCCTACTTTATGACAGTGAAAAATGGCCGGTAAGAGTAGAGGAGAACAGTAGGTTACTAGTATTTGATCATGGGTGTCTTCGAAACATTGCTCGTATATCCTGGGACGATTGAGTAAGTAACGGAGTTGTTAGGAAACGGGTACTAGGTAAGGATGGCAAATCGATTGATGACGTAGTGAAACTTGATCAGTTGAGATGGCTGTGACACGTGTTACGTATGCCCAACCACCGACTGCCTCGATGTGCGATGCTTTATGGTGTAGGAGTAGGTTGGAAGAAAGCTAGGGGCGGCTATACCAAAACATGGCACAAATCCATGAAGTCACTGACAACTGGACTGAGCCATGTTGGCAGGTGTAGACTACCTGGTTGGGGACCGCGAGATGATAGCAACCGATGGTTAGAGACCTTGAATGACATGGCTCAAAATGGTTTGCAATGGCGCAGGTGCATACACTCTTTATGTTCTCCCAAATTTTAATCTCCTGAATCCTCCTTGTCTCTTTTTTTTTCTCTTTCCAAATTTATTTCACTGGATTATATTCTTTAAATAGCATCTTCAAACCCTAATCTTTCCGATTACAGCTTACACTCTCACTACATCTACCGCTACGGAATTTGAGTCGACAACTGCATCTCTGTGCTAATGTGGTATGGCAACTCGAACTGATGTGCGTACTACGTACGTACGAAGTTCTACATTGTTGCTGACTGACTGACTGACGATGAAATCGTCGCAATACAACTCATAGTACGTCAGAAAGTGTTTGAAACAATTTACTATACTTCAACATTTTTATACGTTATTTTAGTCTGTATAAATGATCAAACAAATGTATTATGTGAAATTTATCTTTGATAAACTTGTTTCATTAAATGTTTCCTAACTAATTATGTTTTCCAATACTTTTAATATCCATCGTAGATCGATTCTTCCGATAATTGTTCATCTGCAGTAACTAATAAGTGTGAATCATCTTCACTTGCGGCTATCCCTGATCTTTATGAACCTTTATCATTCGCTTTGAGCATTGGAGAACTTTATTTAACTCATGTATGTAGACAAATCTACTATCGTCTAGGTCAGTTCATGGAAGATCCTAAGAGAAAACCAAACAATTCAGGCATCTCTACAAATTCTTATAATTTATGTATTGATTGTCCAGTATGTTCTGATCCATCTAATCCTTCAGAAAATCTGAACTGCAAGCATATTTTAAATGACCAGCCATTACCCAGTAATGTCTCGTCAACCGAACACCCTGAAGCTATGTCAGGTGAGCTTTCCTATTAGCTCAAAAAATACTTTACATGTTAATACGTATTTTCGAAATGAAATATAAGTATATTATATTTAGAAGTATATATCAATCGTTTGTTTATCACTTTATTATTCATGAAAAAATATCTTCAGAATTTATCATTTTTGTACGGTCGCCTTAATTTTCTATTTAATTATGAACCACTTAGATACATTATTCTTTCATCTCCAATCATTTGTTTCAACGCCAGCGTTCTATAAAAACAATCATATTATCTACATGGTTTTATTAATATATCAGTAGTTGAAATCATGAGTCAATTGAAGCTAGACCACCATGGAAAACCTGGAAGTATTAGATGGCCATTTCGTCCTAATATGGGACTCAGCACTGCGCATCCACGATCTCGCCCCTCTTGATATTCGAATCCAGGACCTATCAGTCTCGCGCGCGAGCGCTTAACCATTAGACCACTGAGCCGGTATCCAACGGTGTTAATGTCTGACTTCGAATCTCACGCGGGGGTGGGATCGTGGATGCGCACTGCTTAGGAGTCCCATACTAGAACGAAACGGCCGTCCAGTGCTTCCACGTTTTCCATGGTGGTCTAGCTTCAATTAATTCATGATTTCAACTTTTGAAATTACTAAAATCTCCACAAAAGCCCTTCTGATTATTAATATATGTCAAACCCACTGTACTAGTTGCTTACAATAATGGTTTTATTCAAATTACAAATAATTCAAAATTGCTTTATTTTTCGAAAATGCTATACATGAGAATAATAAACTTTTATTTTATGGTTTACCAACTCATCGTGACACTCTGCTAATTTTTAATAAAGGAAATTACCACGGTTCTATTAAAGCATTTCGAGACTTACATTCTAGACAGATAATTTTCGTATTTTTTATCAAGTTATCAATCAGCAATGTAATCTTTTGGTAACTATTAGTTTACTGTTGAAGAAAAGTTCTTTATTTAATATTTGTTATGCTTTTCCATGATAACGTCAATATGTGTAATCCTCATAATCTGTAGTGACTTTCATAACGTTCATTCAAAATTCTTGCACATGATATTAGTATGGTACGCATTTCCTAATCAGGGAATAAATACAAGAAAAAAGTGCAGGACGGTATTTTATATTCTGAAAAGATCTTATTTATATCAGTCATTCATTCATACTCAACGTGGAACCAGGCACATATGTGTATCAGTTCAAGTTATTACACCACACCACCATTGCAAGATGCTAGAGTAGTAACTGTATATTAATCGTAGTAGGAAATATTAGGCATAGAAGATATGATTCAAGAGGAAAATGTGGATTCATGGAATTTTGGTTATAACAGATAGTCTTCTATTCCTTTAAGGCATATACAGATAAAACTCTCCTGACTTCTTTTGTCTATTCTTTCGTGATTCAATAACGCCTGGCCACAACTATTTACTGTTTATATAAAAATCTTATGATACGATAATTAATTACATATAATATCAATCTGCAGAGTTAACATCTTTGAAGTGCAGTAAAATGTCGTTGTAAGTGATTAGTAAACAAACAAACCAGAATCTTATGTTAGCTGTTTATTTTTCAGTAATACGTTTTTCCCATTGATTATTTATTTATTTAACTAGAACTTGTTAATCCTGACGATGAATTAGACGATTCTGGTGACGTTAAATGTACAAGGACTAGCTCACATGAAAGTATACACAGTAATACAGATAACGATGAAGATGATGAAGATCATGCAAGATTACGATTTCGTCGATACTCTTCAGACGAAGATTCAGAACATGAGTTTGTAGAACGGGGAACTGACGAAAATGATAACGATTCAGATACAGATTTTTGGGGTTCTGATGATTCTAGTCTATTGCATTCACAAGTATGTACTATTTACTCACATAGTTTTTATACCTTTTTACTACTGTGCAAGGTACCATCTAAAATAAGTTCGATTTTCAAGTGAATGATTTCATAATCCTCATGCAACACTTATACTGTCAAAAACAATTTGTTATTACAGACTAAAATGCAGACTATAAAGCCTCAGGAGATTTACCCTAATCGGCTATATAAATATGTGTGTTGTTTAAATTTAATGTTTTTCCATATTAATTGTCTATGTTTAATTAATTATTTAGTAGTCTTTTCTCAGGTTTTACAAGTACTACTTATGCAGTAGTGTTTTGATCATATGGTTGCATTTCCTTGAGAAATAAAACCTTTTTTGCAAGGACTACTTTCTTATTTGCGTATGGTTTTATGTTCTTCAGATTTTCGTTCTGTGTTAATTCTTTAACCTGTCTAATTGATCTATACTCGTTTCTATATCAGTAATAATTCCTTTCTACCGCATTATCTCCAGTTCGAAACCTAATACAAACCTAATGTAAATTCCTATGTATTAGATGCTGTAGTTTTTATCCTACGGTTCTCCTATAGCATAGTTTTGGAGTAACTTCAAGAGGAACCATAATTTGCTGTTGGTTTTCTTGTTTCCGATTGTTAAATAGATGAGGTTCAAGTGTACGAAAAAAATACTTCGTCGCTTCTGACTATGTTTTGTGATTCTTCTATGAATACACATTATGATAAAACTGATCAAGAGATATTTGGCTAGGAAATCCTATTCATTGTTTTCATTTTTAGGATGAGATTAATTCTACCGATACATCCTCAGATGATGATCTTGATGTTTTATCTGATGATCGGTTGAGGCGTGCTTCCAAACTGAATCATATGGGATCCCAACGAGATGTAAAACAATTAAAACATAATGATTCGTCAAAATATCTTTCAGAATCCCGTTCAGTAAGTAAGGATGTAAGAAGTACATTGACTTGTATTTCAGAGGAGGAAGCGATACAAGAAGGCAAGACGGAGAAAGTAGAAGGTGAGCTTCAATCAACTCAAAATATCTATATTTTGTTTAGTTTTTGTTTGGAAATGGACCAAAATATATCAAAGCAGCCGATCTGTGATCATAAGCAATCTAAGCAAAATATAAAAAATTTTCCTAAATGAATGAGACTATACATACTAATATCTAAGTCCATAGCTTATAAGTAGTTTGAGATGAGATCTTACTTATAACAAAATAATACCAGTAAAGCAAACCCAAAATGTCGTTTATGTTGCTCATTGGCTTTTTTTATTAATGAACTTCGTAATTTAGTCGATCATAAATATCGTAGGACCTGACACGAATATGCTTCCACCCAAGTTGCCACGTCATATGAACACAACGAGAGAAAATTGACAAGTTGCATCGTAAAAAAAAGCATCGAAATAATAATGCTATTACTTATATCAGAAACTTGAATATCAATATTGTTCAAAGTAGAGAAGTGTGAAGTAAACCCAACATTTAGAGGAAGACAAACAATCCGTACCACTGTAATTCATTTTAGGCCACGTAGACCAACACTTCCAACTATTGATTGCGATTATATTTTATTCATCATTTACTTGACATACTTAGTGACATCTGCTTTTGTAGGGGTTGACACTTTATGACAAATAATTAATCTGAACAAAGTTTCTCTGTATATAGATTTTATTGTTGTAATGACAGTAAAAATTAACTGCATTTTAAACACATTACCATATCAGATTAATTATCCTTTATTTTGATCAATCTGGTCAACAATGTTTGTGGTAGAATTCACTGACTATTAGTATATTGTTGCAATGTAATATCTTATCACTTACAGCTTTTCACTTTTTCTCAGGAAGTCTATTTCATCACGTATACAAAAACGAGATATTTACAATGATCACTTCACATATCATTAGTGAAAGCTTTTTATATTGAGGATAGATGAAAATGAAAGTTTGATGCGACGTATTCTGAAAAATATCATTTTAGACTTTCTGAAATGTTTCTTGAGAAATGTGTCCTAGAGACAGTACAACAAAGTGGCTTGAGACATTATCAGAATAGCTCAGAATAGAAACCGATGTCGCCCCTGTTGTAACTTTCTTTTTCTTTCTTCGTATAAGTGAGATGAACTTCTGAAAGATTCCGTTTTCGTTAAATTTTTCTTAAATGAACTGCTGGTTCCATTAGTATTATTGTTTTTCACTCCCATAAACTAATTGCTTTTTATTTTTTATTATACTCACCTTCCTTTCTCCATCTCTTAAGAATCTTATTTTCTTATGTGGTGCATATATATTTTGGTATCCACTTGTACCAATGTTTGTGTGTTTGAATAAAAATAAAAAATGAAGTATTGACAAAGTTTTTGGATAATATTTCTTGTGATTTGTTAGAATATCTCAGCATGTTATCCTAATCAGCATGAACTCGAAAGTGTCTTTTGCATACAGCATTGTGCTAATATCTTTTGATTGTCCTCAGGGTTGAATCATTTCATTTTGAAATATGTTATTACGAAACTTTCTGCTTTCTGTCTTCATATTCCAGAGCTTTTTTTATAAACAATAAGGTTACTAATGCAGTTATATCGGGTTTTCAAGTTAATGCACCGTATTTGATTGCACTGTCCACTCTTTAAAAGGACCTTATTACTTAGACAGTATTCTTATTGAAATTATGCTAGAAATTTTTCTCTACAGTTCTTAGTAATGGGTTGAAGCATATGCAAAAATACCCCGTTTTTGCACTTAAAGTCTAGTGCCATTTCCATTTTATTGTTTTCTAAAGGTAATAATTGGTTTATTAATCTGAAATTTATAAAGTGAGAGTCACTTTCATGTATAAAAATAAGTTTGCTTCATATATACTACATTTTCATTTCATCTTCTTAACAGTTCCTTCACTGGTTTCTCATCCATCTTCAGACAATGCTAAAGAATCAGTGCATCATGAGTAAGTAATATTTTCCTTGCTCGTCTCTGAAATTTATTAGTATTTATACGTTGATCGATCACTGGTTAGTAACTTATTATTGTCTAGTCCTCAGTATAATGAAACAGTTTGATAATTACTCATTGGACAATTAACACACAATTTTACCAAACAATTCACTAAACATAATAAATTACAACTTAGATTTAATCTCTCCTCGATGTTATGGCGGAGGTTTCCTGTGGTTTGATCAGACTAAATTTCATTTGTTAAAATCGATAAATAGAATTCTAATTGATGGATGAACTCAATGATATGACGTGTGACCGAGTGATGGCTACTCACGAAACCACATAATTGGCTAAAGCCGCCGAATAGTTAGGGATCGACAACAAGACAGTTAGCCAGATGAATGTTTTTCATGTAACAAAATAACATGCTTATATACAAAATATGAACACGAAATAAATATGATAAAATGTAGACAAGCAGAGGAAGTTAGCTTTTAGGTCACTCATTCTCCAATCCATTATGACCTGACTGATAAGCCCAATCTTTTGGCATCGTATCACTCGACTTGTTCTCTATTTCATCCAGGCAGTAAGTGAGTGTTAACTCAGTACGACTTAACACTGAACAAACTTTCCAAACCTTGTTTCTTTATTAAAATATATACATCATAATCACTGTTCGCCATTTTGAAATCAATGCTCTAATTGCTCTAAAATGACCCATTATTTTGTTTACTGTTTTTGACGCTTTATACTCTTCTTTCTGTTTAATTGAACGTTTCTGAATTTCTTATAGTTTAAGCTTTCCAGAATATCCACATCCCTGAAATTGGACATTTTACTGTTCAAGCTTATCTATATCTCCATTTTTATGTTCAGACGAAGTTGTCCACTTTTACTGCTGAATTCTGGAGAGTTCCGATTCTTCTGAGTCTCTATTCTTACCAAGATTCATTTCCCTAATCACCTGTATTTCAAAACGTCCAGGATTCCTGCAACTAAACTGACCTATTCAGATTTTTTAAAATGTTATTCGATAATTTTGTTGTTTGATTTTATTTTCCTTGAAAAAGCTTGGACCAGATTGCCAGGCGAAACGTTGGGTTTACTTAAAATTCATTCGCTGAGATTTTACAAATATATTCTTCTTTTTAATGTTATTATTTCCCGTATTTATCTTAATAATTAATTCAGTTGACTGAATATATATTTTTCACTTTTTTAGTTGTAAATATTCTGTTTGAATCTCACTTTTTGATGAAAGGCAGATACACTATTTACACATTCAAGATATATTAGTGTTTTGTGATCAACAACCAATGAAGTGAATAAAATTTCCATTTTGAACCTATCATTCCAAAAAGGAGGAACTTCATCTATAAAATTCCTTCTCATTATAACTTTAAATCACCCTAATGGAATATCGCTTATACCCCACAATATCATCACCAAAAAGTTATTCATTTTGTCCCATTTTCACTTTTTTTTCTAAAGCACAAATAGGTAACAAGTTCGAACTTGTTTCCACCTGAGTATGTTTGATCAGATAGGTATGCTATCGTTAACCGTTAACTTGTAATCCAGTATACAAACCTACTTTTTATTTGTTGATTTCATTTTATTTAAATGGTCAATAGTGTTTATCCTTTAATATATGCCAGTTATTTATGATTCATAATCTGTAATAAATAGTAAACAATAGTTGTTTAACATCTATTTCTCCTCAAACTTCATCAATGAGATTTAATAGCAGGACACATTTCTTTTTTGTATATTTAATAATTAATTAAAATTAAAATAATTATTTTACTTCTGTTTGCTTTCATAGTTCTACTACTGATTATGTGGAGAAAAATATGCGTTACTCTTCAAAATGTCATTCAGATTCTATTAAAGAGAATTTATCAGATTATCCTTCTGTTCAATTTGATAAAGATTCTTACGACCCAAATACAGATATACCAACACGTATTAGTCTATTTAGTCGACTTTATTTATTTCCTGCTGTCAAATTGTTTTTGGATTGGCTTTCAAGTTCACAGTTTCAACATTTAAATTTATCTTTTCAAAATGTTAATTCCACATTAACAGATAATATAACTAATAAATCGCAGAAACCTAGTAGAGCTAGTATTATTTGGCAGGCGTCTGTAGAAAGATTCGTATCACAACTAATCCCATTATTAAATAGTATTTATCCAATATTCGATCAAATGTCTCATGAAATATTGTGCAAAAATGTAACCAATACATCAGAATCATGTGAAATTAGTCATTGTGATCAAAAAGAACAGTTACATGTGTATTCGTGTACTCACTTGGTTGAATCGAGTAAGTCTGATTACAGTAGTATAGTAATTAATTGATTGTGTGTGACATAAGTAATCAATCAAATAAAACATAGACCTTGGCATATATATATATATATATATATATATATATATATATATATATATCGGTTCGGCATAAAATTGAAGGAGTGATAAAAACGATATTGATTTCGGTGTTAATCTAAGAATAATAAATACAGTGTAAAAAAATGAATGAGGTCGGAAAGTAAAAGTATTGAGTTGTGCGAAGCTTAAGATTTGAAAGGAGATAAAGAATGAGTACGGCTGCATCACTGCAACCACTTTGAAGCAAGATCCAAACTAGAAAATCTAAACTTCACACGACTTAGACCATTAGTCAACCACCTCATGAACTAATTTCTCGTCATGATCAGCATTCCCTTAACCTACTTGGAATTTACTCTTGTCCTAGCTGGTACAATGTGTCACCGGCTACGTGATGTGTGCGCTTGCTTTACATGAAAATTCTTTATAGAGAACTTATGTTCTAATACCGAATTCCCTATAAGTTATTATATGGGATTTAAAATAGTCCATGTAGTAGATAATATCTTAGTTATTTTTTTCAAGCAGTATACAAACTAAGAAAGGTTAAAACTTTATATCTTAGAGAAACGGTATATGTTTATTTCTGGATAAGTCCTAAGATATAATCACATCGAAAATAATACATTTACTTCTGTGTTTTTATATTCAGAGAAAATCAAGAGTGATTTAATGTAATGCTTTAACTTACTGAAACTTTGTTTTTCTGTTTTCGTAGTCATATTAAATAAACTCCGCAAAATTTCAGCTGGAAGAAATATAGTATTATTATGAGTGGCTTAGTCATTCTAGTTTGTTCTGGAATGAAATTTTTCTTAATTTCTTTTAAGTAGTAGATTATGATGATGATCAATATAAGGCACGTCTCTACAGTAAAAAAGTAACGCTTATTTTAAAGCTGTTCACTTATTTCTTGGAACAAAAGAACATCTTTAATGCACTCTGAGTATCTTTCAATGTGGAAGAAAAGATTGTAACAGGTTCATAATACAAGCACCCAATACATACTTCTGTAAGTTATGAAATACGAGTTCACACTCTTTATGTTGTATGAATTTGTCCACTCACTTGTAGAACTCTAGGTTTACGCCCTTCAACTTTGATCATTCCTTTTATAATGTGACTAGTTTAAACTTGTCAAGTCAACGTACAAGCATTTCAATCCTCAAATTGACATACTTTACTTGAAATTTGTTAGATTATAATGTCATGTCACTTGATCATATTCCTTAACATTTTTCAATTCTTTTCACATAGTTTATGTAATACTCTTCGTATATATATATATATATATATATATATATATATATATATATATATATATATTCATTACAGATACCGATGACAAAACCAAGTTCAACATCGTTCATCATTTATCACCTGCTGCATACCGGACAATGAAAAAATTGTTTTCTCAACAAATTTTCAATCCAAATAAGTTTCCCGTTGAAGAACAAAATGAATCAGAGAAAAATTTTGTAAAAGAAACTGTAATTCCTAATGATGAAAAATCCAAAATTTATCCTCTTCCTGAAGATTGGTTACTACTTGGCTTACCATCAATGAATTGTATTCATAAAAAAATTGATTTTCATAATGGATGCATATCACCGTCGTTAAATGAAGTAGATGAGGTAAGTGTTTGTTTTCTTATCTGCTACTTTCTTCGACGAAACCTCAATAAGTATTTGTATAAATAACTACGTAAATTTCTTTCAGGGTTTACTGCAAACGTGTAGTTTAGCAATTCCGGTATTTGGTTTTCAAACTGTCGATTAAAGAGTTAATGCTTCTCTTAATTACTATCTAAACAGTGAATTATTGTCGTTAACGTTTCACATAATGGATATAGCCATCAGATTGTAGAACCTTTAGTTGGAGTGGTTATTCCGAACTCGTGACTCAGTAATCGATATTTCAAATCTGGACTGTTGAACCGTTATTTGATTTTTATCATTCACATATTTGCTGATAAATCTAATTGTTCGTCCAATGTTGATTAGTTTTAATAAATCTATCTGACTGTGAATCTCTGCGGTACATACTTTTAGTAATGTTTAATAAATCTGTGAGGAATTATTTCATAAGCGTATAGTCGTCTTATTCCTGTTTTGATATGGAAGTCAATCTCACTTGTAGTAGTTTCCATAAATATACTTTCTAATACTTTTTGTCCACAAATTAATTTTTTTACTCTATCCTTATCCTCCAGATCGTATTTCGGTGCGCCTCCCTTACGTTTCATGGGTGCAGTTTAGCATCACACAGTGGTCAGTTGGGTTTATTTGTTACATATAATTCTACTGGAAATGGTGGTCGACCTTTTAAATGTGACATACCACTGTCTAATGTTGCTAGTCTATCCTCTTCCAATCATTCTAATTGGCCCTATTTGAGTCGACGAAGACGTCGTGGTCGTCGATATCAGAAGTTCTATCCTGGCTATGGAAGATGTGATCGTTACAGTTCTTCTTGTCCCAATACTGGTTATCAGTATAACAGAACTGATCATCGTAATACATGTGTACCTCATAGAGGTCACTCCTATAGGGAACATGCTAGATATTCAGGCTCGGCTAAAGGTCACAAGTCATACTATGATTCCAGACATCGTAACAAACACTCACAACAAGCAGATAATCATCATAACGATTGGGATACAATAGAGTCTGTTCAACATTCAGAAGTTTCACCATCTGATGTTCTTCAATCTGTCTCTAAAAGTGGTGCACAAAAATCTGATTCATCTTCACTGGTTAAATGTGATAATGAATTATTTGACAAACCTCAAGTGAGTTTATTATTTCAGTAAAGCTGAAAGAATTTTTTATTTGTTTTCAACTAAATAATGTTGTTCCACACCGAATTACTGCTATTGACTGCCATATTTGTCAACGTCCATAGTTCGTTTACAAATGTATTAGAGGCTGAATAAGCAGATTATAATATCATTAGCTCTTGTCATTTTCCGCATATCTAAGATTGAGTAGAATATATATAACTCCAATTAATTTAATTTATAAATCCACTATAAGAGCTTCTAGCTCAATACTTAGACTAAATCTCTTCATTTAATCTGAAGCGTTTCTTCATAACATATTGTTATGACTTTAAGTTGGGTCGATTTTTACCCTGTGTTATCGATCGATTACAGTGATACGTAAACACGTACGGACGGCCTAGAGTCTCGATTGGTCCCACTTCGCTGTCTAGCCCAGTTAGTTGAGTCCAGAACACAAGCCGCAGCCTCGGAGATATGAATCATTATATTTCAAACATACTTTGTTTATATACCAATCAAGCATACCACATCGTACCATAAAATAGAAAACAACATTTTGTACAATATTCAACAAGTGAACAGATATCGACCAATAGGAAATGTCCATTTAAAGTCCAAGGACACCATTGGACTTAATATGATAATTATTGGTCTATTCCTCCGCATCCACAACACATATAATAATGTATTTGTTTAATTTTACTACTGTTTATTTGTGTACAATCAATCCTGGAGGCTGTGATATTCTTATTATTGTCTTGCCTAGAAACAGTATCTTGTAAATCATATGAGTCAATTGTGCAGTTAACTCATTTCCGACTACAGAAATTTAAATACACTTATAAAGTCACTGCTAAACAATTGATCAATGACTTGTATGTCATTTTATTTTAATAGTAAAGAACATTGATTTTTATTTAAATCCGTTGGCCAACATTGTATTTTATTTGTTATAAATTGATAGAAAGTAAATTTGAAAAAATAGTCCTTAATACTCTTTCTAGTTGTTGCGAAGCAACAAATTCCAACAGGGCCAGCCAATATAAGTGTGAGTGTAATGATCTAAGATGGGCAAATGGATTATCAACTAAGCTGAAATTCAACACAATACTGAAGTGGTCGGTTTTGACTATCTATGAATAAAAAACAAGTCATTGGTACCAAACAGTTACAAATAGAGCTTCCCATTCAATTTGTCTTTTTTCTTAGGTAGAATTGACCAAGAATTATGAGAAGTAGTTAGCGGCTGATTTTAGGCGATCATCATATCTGATACAGATACTTAAAATCACATGAAACCAGTACTACTGTTGTTCTGTATGTGAATACACAACAAATACCCCTGACAAACACAATTATATGGTAAATGAAAATAAAATTCTCAATACATAATTTACACTTTTCCCGGAACGATATACTGACTAATGACAATTCATGCAATTACTTGGAGTAACAATGAAAAATAAAAATTACATAACTTGCTAAACAAAATCATCAGTTATAAATCCACAGCAGTCTACGAAATTATTTATGCTTTACAACATATAATGCAAAATATACTTTTAAAAAATGGTACTTAGAATTAGAAGTGGATGAATGGATATTTTGACTAATAAATTTCAATAACTCGTAAACAATAATCACTTTTTCTCTCATCATTTTACTAAATATAACCATTTTTACATTTAGAATAGTTCAACAGAAATTGATCAGTCACGCCGAGATCAAGCTATGCGAGATATGGCTCGTCTTCGGCTACTCAATGAAGTCGATCAGTTAGAACGTCAGTTTCGTAATCAATCACCTCTTTCATACAATAAAAGAAGCACTAACACTGCATCTTCCATGCAGAATTCAGATTCAAATATTCAGGATAAAAACTTGGAATTTGATATTAAAAAAACCTTTTTGTCACCTTTTCTTGTCATAGATGCTTACTGCTTAACCAGCCATTTATCCATGGTCAAACAATTAGTCAGTTCTAATCGTTTCGTTTTGATCATACCACAAGCAGGTTAGTTGTATTGATTTCTTCAGATTGATGTAAATTTACGAATTTTTCTAAAACCACAATATTTTCTAGTTATCACCTCTTCAAGCCACATATATAGGCTTAATTCTGATTTTTGGTAAAAACTTGTCCAGATAAATTGGTTTTTATACTACCCTACATCAAGTAGCCATTCGTTACGTATTCATTCAAATGTATTTTGACATTTATCACTAAATATATTGACATGTTACTTAAATTTCTTTGTACTTACTGTTGAGTCGGCTTTCGGAGAACTTCAACGGAGCCGAAGAGTCTTAGCCAATCAGAGCACGATGGAGCATTCTAGAATTCCAACGTGGCGTGCTACTATTGGTCAGTAGCATAATATGTCGTTAAAGGATTGGTCGAAATATGATGTTGATTTAACAAACGCTAACATCTATAAATACCCATGTTTTCTGTACAAGAACGAACCTTAGAGTAAAGTGTTTCTTCCATACTTTGCGTCTTCTTTCTGGTGTTCAAGTCGCTGTATAGTTCTAGCGTGTGGCTTATCAGAATAGCTTAGGAACGAATATAGCGTCCAAATCAGCAAGACTTAACACTTACATTAAATGATTTAGTATTTCATAGTAGATTACACTACTATTCATATGATTCATTGTTATACACTGTATATATTTCTATATAAAGAGTTTTATGTAAGAAACCTACTCCACTGAATGATAATTTATTTGCATAACTAGTTTTTCCGTTCATCATTGAAATATTTATTGCCAGGCGAAACGTTGGATTTACTTCAAATTCTTTCTCTGAGATTTTACAAATACATTCTTCCTCTTGAAATACTATTGTTTTAATTTCATAAATTCACTTAAACGGATATTGTGATAGATATCTGTGAATGATTATGTTGCATACTAGGAATCGAAAACACTCAAACAGGAACTATAATTTCATGATTTAAACGCTTGTTTTTTAACTAGTGAGTTTCAGCCTTCAACCTCTCACAATCTACTTCTTTTTAAGCAATCGGATAGTGTCACTAATCCTAAGATAATCTCGAAATATTTCACAGAAATTGAAATATATATATATATATATATATATATATAAGTTGTTAATTGTTAGGACGCTGAAGGATATTTCAAAGTAGAATCACATGTGAATTTGATCCATCGTGTTTTTTAAATAGTAGTGGCTTTTAAACGTTACTAAAGTTTAAGGCTATTGTTATCATGTAAATAATACTTGCCCTTAAAAATATGGTATTTGAAAGTACTCTTTGAATAGTTTTCTGTACTTAGTAAATAGACGTTCATGAATCTACAGTTTTTCATTGGTGCTACATGTTAATACTATGAAACTATGTAATATGCAAATTTTCAAAAGTAGAAATATTTTATTGGATTGGGAATTATGCTCAGTAACTGCCTTGTTCATTCTACAAGGATGTGAATTAAATTTGTGGTTATATAATTCTCGAGTTGTCATTTGAAAATTAAAACCAATAGCTCAGTTACTTATATGCCCACCTGACTGCGGATTTGAACGATGGGTGCTTTTAGGTTGTTAAATTCGTATAACATATACCTTCTGTTTATTATATATTCCATTTTGTATCTGTTAATAGGTCATAACAGTAAACTATGATACACAGAATGCTTGGACTAATAATTATAAAAGCTTCTGTCGTTTAGTTTATTCATTACTAGCTACAGTAATTTCTTTGACTGGATTTAAAAGTGAATTTTATCACATCCACATGTACATTTTTCATCCTCGTTATATTTTCCTCTCTAATGTAAACTCTCCAGTTATTTCCCATTTGGATTACTTGAAGAAAACAATGGCATCCGCTAGAGTAGCGATACGATACCTGGAACATGAAGCTCACGGTGGCAACCGGTAAGTTTCATTTACAATTACACTTTGTACTATGAAATAGTTTGACTTGGATTGATTCTCACTAACTAGTAACTAACAGTAGCTGTTTTATACCCCTATAATACTTTACGTAAAAGAAAGGTAAGCCAATCATAAAGCATATTTTAAAATTGGTTATTAGTCTTCATTATATATGCACAAAATTACTCGGTTTTCAGTTTTTTGGCAAGCATCAGATCTTGGTCTTAGTATTTAAATGTTTCTCATGATAGTTGTTTAAATCAGAGACTGATATCCGCCAGCGAAACTTTAAGATCTCATAGCAGTCAACAGCTGTTTACCTTACTTTCTTAAGTTTCTGCAATTTGTACATGTAATCCAAACCTCATAGGACCTTCATATTTGACAACAAGCCATGATTTTATTTAGCCACTCAGTTTAAATTCAGTGGTCCCCGATTTCTCACTTCAGTTAATTCATGATATACTACAACCATTATCTTATCTCATCGGTAAATAACTACCTGACATCTGGTTTAATTGATTACATAAGTCTTGACTTCTCCATGTAGACCTCACGAAATCCATTTGAAAACTAGTCACTAATGCTCCCATAACTATGATTACAAATCTCGACAAATCAAACTAACTTCCGATAGTTGTTTCAAGGCTTTTAATATTTTGCATGACAATAGACAAGTATAGTATTTCATATATAATATAATATAGCATAATAAATCTCTAAATAATAAAATCATTAAAATCTTTTCAGATGAATGATTTCTAATTTAAAAATAAGCAGTTTAATAATAAAAATGCTGTGTAATATGCACTTTTCCTTTTGCATGAAACAAACTTTTCTTAATTATTTTTAACTCAAATTCCTGTCCAACGGGCATTGTTCGCTATCATATCATTATACTATTCCAAAATATGGACGCAATTGTTTCTCACTCTTCTACTTCATGTTATCAGTTATCTGCGATTACAAAGACCAGATGAGCAACCAAATCAACTTATTGAACTTCATCGTCAAGATGCTGTACATAACGATGCTCAAGATTTGATAAACGACACGGAAGAAGACGAACCTAAAGCACCCACCAACCAAAGCTTAAATCTTCGCGTTGTAAGAAGATGGATTAACATCCTGAACTGTGCGTCTTATTTTGCACAGGTGAGCACATCTGTGTTAGGACTTTTGAGAATTTAGTATTAGTTCGTGTGATTCCTTTTTTGTCCAACCGAGTACTTCTCTTATACGAGATTATCTATGGCTTGTTTACGTTGTCACTAAAATTTAGAATTTGTTCGCCTTGCTTTAAACACCAATTTTAAGCTGCCGATGTTTACTTTAAAGTTATAATCAGTTCATTTCAATAATACAATTACACAAAATTTTTCTTTGACAACTGGATTTCACTAATCAGCATTAAAAATAACGTTATACACTTGTTTTATAGTTTAATTGTTATCAGTATCCCATTAACTAATAGTAAATATTGATATAAGACTTGAAAAAGTGGATACCAAGTCCGGATTTCAGTGTTATCGAGACACGTGTACCTGTGTGTGTAATTGAATAACAAGTTAAAATGAAGTGTGAATCCAAAATTCTATAAATTATCACCATTAAATGCCTGGTCCTACGTTGTAGCTGACTGACTGACTGATTAAATGCTGTGTAACCGATTTCGATATGAAAAACTACTTTCTATACTCCATATTTTTCCATAAGATAATCAAATGTAGCTAATAGTTTGAATTATTTTTTTCTTCCATCTTAATTTAGACGCTCAAAGATTCCAACAATTCATCTGATCCAACATCTGTAAACAAAAACTCCTTACTTAAAGAAGCTACTAATTCAAATGAACAGGAAACCAATGACTTTCTATATTTGCTTAATATTTCACCTCCATATGTAGATCTACTAAATAAAGATTGCAGTACAAATGAATTGAATGTGTTGTCACTTACTAAAACAGCACCTGTGACTATTCTGATTGGATTTAGAAATACATCTGTTGAAGATACAATAGTTCCTCAAGACTTTTTAAAGCTTGCATTAAATCATGGTATGTCTTATACATTAGTTTACTGTTTACCTATCGTTGTTTAATTTATTTATATACATATTTTTTTGAAATTGTTAATTTCTTAAAATTATCAATGGTAATTTTGATTATTGTGTTACCAATTATTTTCAATTGCCATCAGGATTGAAAAAAATTAGTTTCTTTTATTGGCATAATTTGCAAGAAAAAATAATAACTTAGTTGACAGAATATAACTTCTATAATGTCCACTTTTAACAGATTACTTTCAATTTTTAAGGTAACTAATCAGCTGCATTTCTATGATGTAAGGTGATGGTTAGAGATGGTCGACGGGAAACCATGGACTTAGTTTTCGTGCTATTTGGCGCCCGTTGAGATATCGAATCACCTAAACTGGTGGCTTCATTGCAACTTGATCGATAAAGTTAGCTCAGCACTAAGAAAAGCCTGACATACATGGCATTGGTCACCCAGTGATCGATCAGTTGTAGCTACACCTCAGTCCTATAAGAGGCCGGATAACTCAATGGTAATGTCTCTGACTTTGACGTTGGGTGACGCAGGATCAAATCAGGCAGAGAGCATCAGTATAATGAAAATTATATGTTCTATCGTGTCCCAAATATCATGGAACCTAGGTCCTTGGATTCCTGTGAACTATCTCAAACCATCACGTCGGTCACTACCCAGTGATCAATCAATTGTACAGTTGTCTTTCTTCAGGAATAATTAAAAATGACAATTTCATACTAATATTGTCAAATTTTATTATGTCATCCATTTCTAAGGTCTACTAAAATAATTACTTTGATTGGTTGCGTGAGAAAAATAAGTATATATTAAAATACATTAATTAAATTTTCACAGAAATAATAATGCTTCTTCCTAATTTTTTAATATCCATCGGACTGAGTAAACCATCTCAATGTTTCTGATTTATTTGTTATTCATTTATGAAGTGCAATTTTGTGCACTACACTTTGGGTCACAATATTTATGTGAGTGCTGGTTATTACCATTCAGCTACCTAAACCGAAATAGATGAGGTAGTGTTCAAATCTGTTATTTAATGTTTTGTGAAGCTAAATACTTTAAGCTTTAACCATTAAAACATAATTGTCATGAGCTTTTGTTACACTTCGAGTTTAATTAAAATACATGCTGAGAGTAGAATACTTTGATTTGATTAAATCTATTTCATGTCTGGGAAATCTTGAGTAGAATTCTCTACTTAACTTCTTTCAGAAGTATTCATCAATATCAATAATGTGACTAAGTTTTATTTATGAATGTTTTATATTGGAAATAAACCAATTAGCTTCTAGACAAGCCAACTTATCTCAGTCAGTCAGTCAGTAACAACGTAGAACTTCGTACGTACGTACATCAGTTTGAGTTGCCATATCACATTAGCACAGAGATAGCCAACTTATCTATTCTTCTTGAATCACGTTTTGACCTTGTTTGTCATTCACTTATCAACCCTAATTGTTTCTATATCGGCGTATATGTGTGTACATCTTATCCTACTCATCACATATCCGTAGCTTATTTTTGTGACTATAAATATTGACTAACGCTTGATTAAATCGAGTTGGCCCACGTGCCTTCTCCACTGCGCGGAATTTCGTTTCACTTCGCTTCCTTCGCTACGTCTCTCTGATTGTCAGCGTTGGCACGAAATATACGCATTCAAAATTCCATTCTTGTATTTAGCTTATTTTAATTCCGTTATTCACCAAGTCGATGATTATATACGAGGATTGGCGACATGTATATCTCAATAACAATCAGAAACTATCCAAGTGGAGTCAGATACAGGGCCACTAAAAGTGATGACCTCTACCACGAATTTAACGCAGCAAACAAAATATGCAACAGTAGTAGTGTGGTGTGTGCTACTTGTATTGACATAAGTAGTATATGATGTTAGTCGTAACAGAAGGTCTGGGAGTAGAGAGACAAGAGAATCACATAGTAAAGAATGGAAACAGGATGCAATTTGTATGAAAATGCAAGAACAATGAAGTCTGAGTCACTTTGAGACAATTGGTGGACATTTTGGAAATTAAGCATTTACTTCATGATTGTTAGATTTTATTAACAAGTCCTGTAATTTTGTGTTAAATACATTCGATTGTCCCCACTGGTGTTCTTGTTCACTACAGTAGTATATTCGTAGCGGAGAGCAATTATGTCATACATAATCTGCTTTTTTTAATTACTTGGAATCATATTTTACTAAGTCAATCCTGAGAAAACACTTAACATTCTAAAATACTTCATGATATCTCACTTTCATTTTAATTTTTATGCTATATGAAATATGAGTAGCTTTTTGATAGCATGTCCGGATTTGAAGCTCTGTATAAACGTCTACTTAATTTAAGCGATTATAAAATAACAGTCAATAGTGAAATAACATTGAAAGATATTCCTGTGAATTATACAAAATCTAGTGTTTTAATAGTAATACTAGACTGGAATACTTTTTTGAATTGCAGATGTCTTAATTTTTTTTTCATCAATACTTTATTCAAATCCATATGCCATTTTCTTCTGCATTATTTTCAAGGTGTACGGTTAGAATTAATTCGCTCCTTTATTCATCGTTGGAAAGCGATCAAAACATGATAGGAATAAAGAATATACATGTACATATGTTTTTGTATTCAACTGATGTAAAATAAAATTGTACAAAATAAGGAGATTTTCTTATCCATCAGTTATTTTGTTTTTCCCATACCATTTAAGTGTTTAATATGATTTTGTTTTCTGTCAGTTGTAAGGCTGTGAAGATTGTTGAGTTTTAGTGGAAATCATAAACCGATCAATGTTAGACCACCATTAAGTACCTCGAAGCACTGGACGCCTGTTTTATCCTAGTATGGGACTCCTTGGCAGTGCACACCCACGATCCCGCTAGTGGGACTCGAACCCGGGACCATCGGTTTCACGCACAAACTCCTAACCACTGAGCTGGATTTCAACGGTGTTAATATCTAACTTCAATCAATCCGCGAAATTGCACGATCATCCTTCATTGTCTTCGATGGATAACTGCCCTACTTACATCCGGCACAGCGGAACCCCACTGATTACGGTTTTTTAATTCTGGTGTAGAATAGTAGTACTGTAGTGAAGGAGAACACAGGTGAGGACAACCGAAATTGTATTTAGCACAAAATACAGAGTTACTTGGTAAAATAGAAAAACCATATAGTAAATCGTTAATTTGCAAAATATCAATACATCATATCAACGTGGACTGTTCCTGTTGCACACATCAATCCATTGTCTCACATTTCATTGTTCATGCGTTTTCTTACAAATTGCGTCGTCGCTCTTCCTTTTTTGATCTACTGCCAGACATTGCGTTTTTAACTCGCGTTATATACTACTTACATCCATATAAGTAGCACGCACCACAGTATGACTGTTCTGATAATCCGAATCTCTTATTTCATCAAGTTATCTCACTTAGTACATCACGGTATAAATTAGATGTAAAGTAATTACTTTGCATTAAACAGCGTAAACAAACTGATGATTAGCAGAATTATCAGAATGTTTGTTAAATACATAAAGCAACACTTTAATTCCATTTAGTTTACCGTTGTGCATAACAAAGACTACATAAGAATGTCGGACATTTTTAATAACTTATTCGATTTATTATTTATAAATTTAATTCGAATACTTGTTGCATGAAAAAAACAGTTGCCTTAATTGAAACGTGTTGTAAATTGTGAAATAAGTGATGATGGAATAAGCTTCCGATTGATTATAAAATCGTGTACAACGTAACAGATATAAATTTATCATTTATCTGACTATAAATAGTGGTCATTTTGTTATCTTAAGCTTTTCTGTTTTCGTCTTTCTAATGAATATTATCATTATACGTTATCTGATATCTTACAAACAGTTATGACATGTGTGTCTTCTTCTAAACGGTTCGAATCGCAAAACAGGTGCTTGAAAATTGGTATTCTCTCAACAAACGTTAGATACAGTAAAGACTTAAGTCATAATTTCTATCCTGATCCTCTATTATTTCGATTTTTCTTCCAATTTAACCTTTCTATGTTCAGTCATAACTGGTCCTATTAGTCGTTACTGTGTTATATAGGGTCAACCGGATATATCACCTCTTGTCAAAATATTGATCAGTTGTTTAGTTTTAATTTTGTTATCGTCCCGGCTAGTGTGTCATACATGTGATCTAAAAATGTTCACGTAATAATCACTAATAATACAAAAAACGAACTATTGAAATTATGCAATTGTGTACTTACAAACAATTGACATATGGGAAAATAGCGTTGCGTTATATTCATTTGCTCAGTTTGTAAGCTAAAATGAACCATACTGTTATAAATTTTCACGAATGAAAGAGGATGATATTCGGAATTGAATATTCCACTTAAGTCTTCATATTACAGATAATGTTTTTAGCGTGCCCGCACACTAAGGCATTAATTCTCAAATCATACTTCGTTTCCCTACTGACCAGAGATAAAGGTTCAAGCTTGTCTAGAAGCTTTATTGTGAGCAACCTGAGAAGATTACTAATCTTTCGAATATATTTATTTATATACAGATTATTTGGAGTAATCATTAATTTTAAGAAAATTATCACATTGAACAAACTTCACACTAAAATGGTACAAATGAATATTATAATAAACAAAAATTACACTGGACTAATTTGACAGTTAAATAAGCGAAAATCAACCTGAATTATCTGCAATGAAAGTTGCACTAAGGTAATACAAAAACCAGGTTTTTTCTTAAGTCTGTATTTGTAGATCTAACATCCAATTTGTTGGTAGTTATACGGATGAACAAATATATTGCCACAGTGTAGGAAAAACGTTCACTATATTGTGATATTCTTATTAAGAAACTAGAAGCACAGTTACTAGTAACACATTGTTGTGGCTTCGAGTTTTTCATCTGTTCACATGTTTGTCCGCTGCCAGTTGTTCAAAGTGACATCTATGTATGAGTAATCAGGAACGTTGCTTTTCTTCCTAATTACCACTGATAATCTTGGCACGAGAAATAACTTTTCTCTTTAACCCTGGATAACCCAGATGTATCACTCATGTCATATAATGGCTGCATAAGATATAAACAAGATAAGAAGGAACTTGTCAAATGCAATGTATATTTCCTTCCTCTGAATCAAAGAAATTATCCCTACACACAGAAAATTCCAAACTTCAGAGTAGAAACGTTTATTCAACATTTATTGCGGTAATCGTTCCCTATTTTAATAATCAACTTTTATTCCCTTATCTCCAAAATGAGTTATCTTTGTTTTCATGATTTTCGCTAGTGTTGTCTTTCCCAACTTATTTAATTATGCTGTGGAACTTATTTTTATAGTTATGAATTTCTACCTACTTTCTGGAACATTTTTGATTAATCTTTCAATTTCAATAATAATTTTGTCTTCTATTTTCTTAACAAGGAATCAAGTCCGCCTTTCTGTCCATTTGTTATCATATTCGATAAGTCAATTGTAATTACCAAACATAATGTTTATCAAAAGAGCTTTCACTTCCTGGGATATCTTCGGGTCTCCAAACAGAATATGTTAGTTTCAATGAATTTCCAAATTATATATATATACATATATATATATATATATATATATTTCTTCGACCATAAAATTTATCCGTTTAGGTCGATTACCGCGAAGCAAACTTTTTCATGGAAAAGCTCAATATATGAGTAGTAGTTCTAACAATAGATCAGTATTTAACACACGCGGAAGATATTTTTTCGCAGTACAGACGGGGAATTCAAGGCATATTTATTTAAAAGACTAATATGTGAACGAAGAATATTCTTTTCGATAAATTCATTTCAGGTTCTATAATTCATATATCCAAATTAATAATCTGAAAAATGGCCAGGTTAAGGGTAAAGTACATCGTTTAAAGCATGTGAATTTAGGATTGTTAAACAAAATACAATAAAATTGTTAATGTTGATATGACTCATACAGAATGTAAACTTGAATCAGCTTATATGTTAAGTAAAATTTTAAGATCCATGATCAGAATAAATATGGGTCAGATAGGGTGAGAGAAATAATATTAATTGAGAACTTAACAAGTAGTTGGGTTTCTTAAAATCTGGTTAGCATTGAATAGAATAAATAATGAGTATTAAATTATGTGGAATATTGAGACTCATTAGTGAAAATGCCGCGGATTAAGGGGTAGCGAATTATTGATCGGACGAAAGACGCATAAACACGTAGAACGACCTAGGGTTCTGATTGGCCCCGCTTCCCTGTCTAGCCCAGTCAGTTGAGTCCAGAACACAAGTCACAGCCTCGGATATATGAATCATTATATTTCAAACACACTCTGTTTATATACTAATCAAGCAGACCACATCGTGCCATAAAATAGAAAATAACATTGTACAATATTGACCAGTAGGAAAATGACACGTGAAATAAGCACTGACCAATAAGAGAATAATACCATCTCCAAGTCCAAGAATAGCATTAGACTTAATAGAATAATTTCTGGGATATTTTCCTGAATATCCCAACAGTAAATAAAAAAATAGATTTTCAAAATGTAGGTTGTCAAATGGTACTATACCGTATTTATAGTCTACGAAAAATGGTTCTAGCTTGGTTACCTACCGATCCCGGTAATTAATACTTATTTTCTTCACTTAAAGCACAGATCCAGCGTTACTTTGAGATGGCTTACGATTATTCCGAACTATAAACAATTGTGAAATGTCCTCAAAATTGCAGGATCTGTACGTTTCAGAGAGCTTAAAAATTGATCCCCGCAACACCTCAATAACAGTTATCCTGTAAGCGACTGAAAAGACAGGGATCCAGGAATGATGTTCAATAAATTAAAACTAAGATACAACTGCTTATATAACGTGGACACATATAACCAAAAGAGCAAACCAAAAACGAAAGTAGCTAATCGGATGATAGTAAAAGTCAGTGGAACAATGTGAATTGTAAAATTACCGATGATTCCTTGTTCGCTAGAGCTTCCATATATCAACGAACATCAAGAAGCTATATAATTTGAGGCATTCTAAATATTCAATAGCCGTGATGTACACTATCCCAGGACTATTCCCGTACGCGTTACTTATCGTAAAAATCACTCATTTTCCAGTGTATTCGACTACTTCAAGATGTTATAACGAAGCAAAATTCATGTAAATTGTAATCTACCGTCTGTATGGATATGATTAATGTAGTAGAATAATTAATGCAGAAAGCTCTATATGAACGAACGTCAGAATACATGATAACGCCAACCAAACATGAGTCGCTTTATGTAACGAGACTCGACACAAAATCTTTTGCGCCATAAAAGTGATTTATATCTGGTTTAAAGACTTGGTTATTGAACTTGTGCATCATTCACGAAATGAGGGCCACACCAGGTTTAACAGATCTGTTGTCAACAAACATCTCATTAATAGCTTAGGTTAGAAAAGTACGTACGAAGTTCTACGTTGTTACTGACTGAATGACTAATCCTATTAGTAAAAAAGTACGAGAGTACCAAGGATTGGTTTGAGGTATTCAGTTAACTAGAAAGGTGGATAGAATTCATCGATCCACATGTATGTATTTATCTAAGATGCTCAGGCAGATGAAATTATCAAGGCAAATCCCACGGTAGTAGAAGTAGTAATAGGATTAATGTTAACAGATAATGGTAAATGTATCAAGCTTAGCTCGAGTCGATTACAACTCTCAAACTCACTATTTTCAATCTTCACAGAAGTGAGTTGTTGGCATCATAGATTTCAGAAATGTGGGAAAAGCTCGTCACCGCTACATCAGAAAAAAGTATTGCTATTGTGTACACAACAACGATCTTTCAAAAAGAATGACATTGTTTATTTTAGTAAGGTTGGATTTTTGCTAGCAATCGGATCCTCCTCATTACCTAAATGTACCTACATTCTAGTACTGATGATCCAAACTGGGACTCGAATTTAATACCTTTCAATTCAATCGCCAAAGCGTTATCGACCGAGTTCAAATAGTCATGGCTGTGAAGGTAATAGTTAAAGTCTTTAATAACAATGACCAAGAACGTATTCATGATCGTAAATCCAAAATACCCTTCATATTCTCGTTGACTAACTTACCATCTTTGTATAGAACATGATAAGTATTCAAGGATCAAACTAGTGGAAAGAAAACTGATGGTTACATTTCGAAGATAAGTGTTCCGAGTCACTTCTATATATATAAAACTTTTTGTAGACACCAACAGAATTATTATACTGCGAAACAGTATATATGCAATATGATTTTTGTTAAAAGAAATAAATCGGAATACTTTCCACAAAAACATTTGTATTTAGTCAAAAACAAGAATCTTCATTCAATACAATTAAGAGTCAAGACTGAATCAAAAGATATAAGAATTTAGAGGTCAAAAACATAAGTAAAAAAGTACTGAAATACTGTACAATTTATTAAACAATAGATTTTATGTACAAGATTATTTTGACAGAACATTCAGTTCTGAATTAGCAATTAGAAGATAACGTTGAAAAATATCAGTTTAAATATATACAAAATAGAAATTTTCTAACGTTATAATTAGTCATCTAACATAAAACGCTTTATTGTTGTTTTACGACGTTTTGATGGACGTATTCTGCAATCGTCATCGACTTCATCATTATCATTATTATTACTATTGTTATTACCTCGCGACGTAGTGGCTCTGGAACTATTGGAATCATCGCCACTTTCATCATCAATCACAACAACTTCCAATACACGATCTTCATATTCATCATCCTCATCATCTTCACTTTTAACAGATTCATCATCTACTTCTTGACGACTAGTTGAACGTTTATTTGTTGACTTACGATCCTTTGATACTGCTAATTCACTGTTTACACGTCTGCCTCCACTTGTTTTTAATTTATTCGTAGATTTATCTACAGAACGCATTGCTCCACTTCTAGTTTTTCTGCTGATTGTTGACTCTTCTTCTTCGGACGAACAAGATGACGAGTCACTAGTCACAGAACCAACTTCATTACCATCAGAATCACCATCAAAATTATTCAACTGACTATCGCTTCGATTATGTCGTTTTGAAGAAGTTGAATTACTACTGTAAGTTGAAACTACTTGCCGCCTTTCTGCCTAAAACAGTAAAAACCAAAAATTTATGTAAGACAACTGACTATGTAGGAGTTTTAGGGAAAACTTTAGTCTGAATAAACGTATTTCCAGTCTTACATAAGACAGGTGAATTAAATGTAGAAGGGTGAACAATTCGGAATGCATGTAAATAACGTTAATGATTACATGTCTACCAATTGAAACTAGATATATAAAGTAGAAACAATGTACTAACTGTTCATGAGATTGAGTAGAATGTTCAGAAACAATTGCTTAATAAACAATACTGAATTACCAGAGCATATAGAATATAATTCTGTTGAAGCGAGCCAAATATTGTGTAAGTTGAAACTACCTTGCGAAGAATTATTGTATATCATCAGTATGGAATTATAAAAAATGTATGATTACCACACTTTTATATTCTCCTGTGTAAGCATAAACTGTCATTGCATGTTTTGTCTCTTTGGAATTAGTATTAATTACCTTTCAACTCAGCTCTGTCCCAAACAGCAACAATGGCTTTGATAAAAATTCCGAATGCATAAAGTTTAGTGTGCTTAAATTGTTTTATGTAACTTCCTTGACAAGTTAGGACAATTTCGTATACCAAAACACATCTAATGATTTACTCACTACTTTGTTAAATCTATGTCTTCTATGAAATTTAAACGATCATTATTGTTGTACTACAAAAATATCTTACCCAAACTTTTTATATTCTCCATTACACTTATTGTTGTATATTTTTTACATTAAATTCGTTCAAAATGTTTATTACAAAATTATCTGAAAGTCATGTCTAGTGTACAGTTAAAGTTATTAATATTATTATTTTGTAATTTGTATGAGCCTGAGATCATGCCTATAAACTAGCGTGTGTTGTGTACTTGTATTTCTTGCAATATGATATATCATTACTATGAATAGTTTTGATAACAATGCATTGAACTATTTATTTGGTCACTAGAAATTAAACATAATACAACTTAAGATTCAAACTTAATTATCAGTATAATGAAATCGTTCAAATTACATTATTTTGACACAAGAATTGAAAGAAAAGCCGACGAGTATAGCATACATTCTCAGAAGAAAATGATATTCATTTTATTTATATTATTGACTTACTTCAGCTGCTCGACGTGAATCTAAATTACGAAGACTATGTCCACCTTTGCTACCACCATGACTAGTAGGTTTTATTCGATCAGATGAATTTTTTCTAACGTCACTTTTATACACATCACCATTAATATGAACTGAAGAATTGCAACGTAACAAAGAATCTGATATTTGTGAATGACAATCACTAGATGTTGGTGGAAGATCTTCAACTAATGCCAATAAGTCAGAGAAACGATCTTTAAGATTTGGAGATAATTTAGGCGATACCACTAAAGATTGAAGAGCTGATTGTATATCATCATCTTGTAATACTTGAGGAGAGAAATTAATTAAAAAGCATGAAATAATAAAACGCAACGTTAAAATAGTTCTGAGGAAATCATTTCAAAGTCAAGAATGATCAATTAAATTGGTTATCAGATATGTAAAATGTTTGGTGAATTTATTCGAAATCTGAGTTCTAGAAAAACTTCCAACATCTGTAGATGAGAATGGAACACAATAACTTAGTATAAATTAATTACGAAAAATGGATACAGAAGAAATTTTACATCAGTATAAGGGCTGTGGAGATTGTTACATTTTTATAGTTTACATTAATGACTGATCTTAGTTAGACAACCGATGAAAACCCCGAGGCACTGGATGGTTGTTTCGTTCCAATATGGAACTCTGCAGAAGTGAACATCCACGATCACACAACCAGAGATCGAGCCCAGGACCTTCGGTCTCGCGCGCCGACGCCTAACCACCAGACCACTAATTAGGAGTCCAATGACGAACGAATTTAATTCCGATCGATCCGCGATAGTGTGCTACCATCGTCCACTGAGAACCTTATATACTCGACATGATCGAAATCCACTGGAGACAACGACAGTCGAGCAATATTGCGGACTGATTGGAGTTAAATTTGTCCATCACTGGACTCCAGGGAACAGTGGTCTGGTGGTCAAACGTCTACGTGAGACCGGAGATATCGATTTCGATCCCTGGCTGTGCGGTCGTGGTTGTGTATTTTTGGGGAGTCTCATACCAGAACGAAATAGACGTGCAGTCCTTTTAGTGTATCAATGATTGTCTAACTTAGATAGGCTTATGACCTCAATAAAAATTTAATGCTTAGTTACAAAGCGATACCATGCACAAGTTGAATCTTTCGTACATTATTCATAAAATCACATATTTCGATTGGTTTGTGAAATATCAGTGGTCAAAAGTAGTTAGTTCTCATGCGACAATTGCGATTGATCATCCGATATAGAAAAAAACAAGATTCGCTGTTAGATTGTATTACTGAAATATTGTAGCATTGTTTCGACGGTATTTTGTTCATCTAACGCACAGAACGTAACACCATCAAAAGTATCCACCTGAGTTGTAAATCTTCTCCATCATTCTATTGCAACATTGCACTTGACAGACATAAACACATACAACAGACGGACAGATACAATTCAGTAGCATTGATTAAACCTTTGTTAATAGTCGATCAACTACTTTAAAGCATTCTTTTCAAAGTTGTAAGGATGATCAATATATTATTATATTTTACAGAGATATTCATTAAAGCGTTAATAACTCCGTATAGTCGAGCTATCAGTACAAAAACAATAAATAGTAAGATCATTCATAGTTACTAAGTAATAATCCAATGATATCTTTTCCAGAACTCTTGCGAGGAAAGGTGGAACGACGAATATCTGAAGTTAAAACAGTAAAGAACTTAATACAAGAAATAAAGTATATAATTAATGAAACATGAATATGAAAACGACTTTTAAAATTATGAAAAGACTAAAAGGTAGTGAATTACGTGATATATTTTTACAATTTCTTCGAAGAGAATCCAAGTGGGTAAGGATGAGTGATAGGTCCACACAATCCTCAGGTGGCAGCTGATGTCTACAAAACAAAAAGTTTAAGAAATGCAGTTAATGAATATCGAAAATCTCTGCATATATATATAGTGAAGATGAAACTATTGCTTAATTTGGAAATTGTGAGCCGTCTTCGAACGATGTTACACTATTTTATCGAAACTAAACTTAGTGCTCGAGAAGGTATCATGTACCCAGGAGACTTGAAGGTCCTCGTTTGGAACCCATGTAAAGAAATATGTGAGCACTCTTGGGAAGCTCCACAAGAGAATAAATATATGTCAACTGCCTTCTTTTATATTGCACAAAACTCGAAAGTCATTTTCGAATAAGTGTGTTTGATTTTGTTTCGAATATGTTTCGTAAATTTTGAAAAATTAGTTACCAAGTTTGTAGATGTAGCTGTAATACTTCTTTTAGCTTCTAATTTCAGGATACTAACACTTACTTTGAAGAACTGCGGCGTTTATCCTTGACGTCTTTCATATTTTGATTATTAGTAGCTGAACATACACCAACTGCATTTGTTGAAGATAAAGGTGCATTGATAAACGAACATAAAATGTTTGAGAAACGTCCAGCATGTTGATTATCCGGACAGCTCCAAAAGTGCAGTGCAGTCATTGATAGTAAATCATTTGAATTACGACGAGATAGTAAAGCACGAACTAATTCAAAGCTAGGTCTGAAAGGTCAATTACAAAAATAATTATTCAGATTACTGAAAACGATTTTGCTATACAAAAAGAAAAGAAGCAGCAAAGGCACTTAGAATTGAAATACAACTAACTACCTGATCACTGCCGTTTTTTTTAAGGGACTATACATACTACATACTATGTTAATGTATAAAGTTTAGAGTGTATCACCATTGATCCTCTTATGTGCAAACAGGAAACTTGAGTAGGGACTGATAAGCAAGTCCATCTAGACAAATATAAGAAGTGGACACCTTACACTACTACTACTACTAATACCACCACCACTCATTTCCACAATAAACTAGAAAAATAGAAAGTTGTTGAGCATGTTTACCAATTATCTTACTTAATAGTACCAACGCTAGAGGGATTGTGGTCGGTGAAATAAAGACAATAACGTGACTTATTACATTACACAAAAATACCAGTTCACAACAGCATTTGACAGAAAACTTTTTAACGATGATAGACATTTGATTACCTATGTTCTATTGATATCAAAGAAGTATGGCAGAAACACTGAGTACTTAATATTTCGGACGGATACTCAGTAGTTAATATTTATTGTTAAACAGTTGACAAGATTGTGAATTTAAATTCACTGAAAGGATTAAGGCATTTGTTATAAATACCTGATAAAATACTACTTCAGTAAAATATTGAATAAAAATCCAAGATATAAAATATGTAGACGCTTATAAAATGACCAAAAGTGATTAAATTAATGAATATTATTTAAGAACATTTCGTTAACCAGAAATCTCAAGTTTCGTAAAGTGAAATTTAAATGTTACATTCTTCATTATTTAAATAATTATAAGTGTAAAATATAAAACATTCGTAAATCAACACACTTAACTCTAAAACAAAATACTTACTTTTCTAATTTAAGGAGAAGAATCAAATTGGAACATGCTTCAGGATGCTCTGAATTAGTTCACGAAGAAGTAGAAAAAAATAAAACAAGAACTTAGGTAATACATAAATTAATCTAATTATGGAATGAAAGGAAATTAAATAATTTACAAATAATATCTGGAAAATTTCATATTTTAAGTGGAACAAATGTGTATATCTATACAAAACATTACTAGGTGTATAATCTTAACAAAAATATTCGTCTGTCTTATGTAGTCCCCTAAAATTATTTGACAAGATTTATTTGATAAAATCATACATTTAAATTATTTTCTTTAAGAAATGAAAGAAGGCTAACTAACATTTCGAAAACAATCATTTTTGAGAAATTGGAAATAAACAATTTCTGATATGTATGGTTTTATTCACGAAGATATATAGTTTCTTCAACAAATGTGAGAAATGGAGTCATAAAAACGTGATTCTACACAATCTAAAACACATAGTCCTGACCCCTCACCCAAAAGAGGGGTTGTTAGGAAACGGGTAATAGGTAAGGATGACAAATCAGTTGATGAAGTAGTGAAACTTCATCAGTTGGGATGGCTTGGATGTGTTACGTATGCCCAACCACCGACGTGCGGTGTTTTATGGTGTAGGAGTAGGTTGAAAGAAAGCTAGGGGCGACCAGACCAAAACATGGCACAAATCCATGAAGTCACTGAAAAGTGGACTGAACCATGTTGGTAGATGTAGACTACGTGGTTGGGATCCACGAGACGATAGCAACCGATGGTTAGAGACCTTGAATAACATGGCTCAAAATCGTTTACAATGGCGCAGGTGCATCCACTCTCTGTGTTTTCCCAAGTTCTGATCTTCTGAATTATTCATGTCCCTTTTTTCTCTTTCCAAACTTATTTCACTGGATTTTACTCTCCTTGAATAACAGCTTCAAGCCTTAATCTTTCCGATTACTGCTTATGTTCTTACTACCTCTACCACTATGGGATTTGAATCGACAATCGTATCTCTGCGTTAATGCGCCATGGCAACTTGAACTGATGTACGTGTGTACGAAGTTCTACGTTGTTGGTGACTGACTGACATCTCCCGAAAACTTACCATTTGTGGCAATACATTCACCTAAACCCTGTTTTTATTGTTCAAAACATCCCTGAAAACCCACAGAATTCACGCTTTCCAAGTGCCTCTTCAGTTTACATCTTGTTAGAATCGTATATGAAAACGAGGCATTCCAAACCCAGTAAATCGATAAAGGGGACGCACGAGAGACTGTACAAGTTCAATGTATTCACCAAAACAGGAGCTTAACAATTGTACTGACCTTAAATCGTTCGTACAGTTGTTAAAGCCTTTGATGAAATATCCTTGATGTGTTCGAACAGTCATTTCCTGTAGCGCGTTATTTTCATAAACAGATCTTAAGATCTCATAAATTTCCTGAGTAACTACTAAATTTGGTTATGTATTAAACGGATCACGTACTAAGTAAACAGTCCCCACAATATTTTGAAAAGTCACCTAAAAACCAATTTTACATTAATATTTACACAACTGCTAATATGACATTCTGAAGTGAATATGCTAGTTAACTAAATAATTCTCTTAACACCCATTCTATGATAAACGGATTTGCAAATTTTTTTTCAGTGAGTTCTATTTAATACACTTTACATGTGCTAGAATGTAATCAGTGAAAATATCAGATACACATAAACGCATCAATTTAACAATAAACCTACTAAATGAATCGACAGAATGAATCAACGGTAGAAATCGACTAGTTGGAATTTCATGAGCATTAATCAACTGCCAAAAGAATAACTGTTCAATCGAATTCCATTCAAGACTGGCATCTGGGGATTTATTGATGAATGGAATAGTGTTATTGAAAAAGGAATAAGAAAGATTAAAGTAAGAGTATGGAAATATTAATTCCATGTGAACTAGCAAGTATATATTTAAAATCAAAATTTGTAGCGAATAAACACCGAAAACGTTAATCTACCGTTTTAATTGTAGTCACAACTAAACGAAAAACACTTAAAACTATTTGTTGTATCTAATGTATATGATATAGTCAAAATTTACAAGTATTCAATAATATTTAGATGGTTAAGTAAATATGATGGGAATTCAAGCGAGATTCTTGAGTTTCAGTGCGTAGAATAAATCATCACAAGAATCTTTGAAATAATATTTTTTGCAACAATTATTTACTGAAAAGGTGACTTTACAAATAAGCATTACTTCATGATCAAATAGAACCTATAATTGATAAATAAACCATTCAACCGTGAAAACTATTAATCCGAGCTATGCAAATTACAAATTGATAATGAATTCATATACATCGAAAAATCATTAACATAGATTAACTAATGCAAATTTGGTAAATATAATGAATTTGGCTAAGATAGAATACAATGCTATTAAATGCAAGAAATATGAACATCTTTGGTTTGATCCTGTGTGGAATGGTGAATACAAACTTATGAATAATTCTCAGACCTCCACCCCCACAACGCCAAAATAGAACGAAAAAGCTATATAAGATAAATGTTGACTATTTCCAATGGGTCTTCTGTTGATATTAGCAATAAATTAAACATACACACGCAAAATAGCTTCCGGTTTTGAAAAAAAGGACTAACGATGATAATTGTTGCCGATATTTATTTAATGTAGTATTTTGTAACAGATGTTTCATTGAGATAAACAAGTAAAATGACATTACGGTATATTTACCAACTTCCTGATAAAGACAACAACAAAAACGCTAAAATGTTCAATTCAATCCTGTTGACTATGCAAATGTACAAAAATAGATATATTAGCACATCTCTTGGGCACACAATATACTTTACATCAAATTAATTTGATGATAAAAACACATAAATTTTCTACAATTTGAATTCAGCAGCGAACAGAAAATTTGTTTACAGTAACAGTTTGTGAACAATAAATTTTTAAAAATTCATAATACAAAACTTACTTAATATATTGGTCAAATCGTTATTCGGAAAGAGATTTAAATGTCCACGAACTATTTCACTTATAAGAGAATTACACATTCCAGGATCAATGGTAGCAACAATTAATCGAAGAAATTCCGTGTCATTAGATAGTTCTGATGAAAACTATAAAACATTAAACAAAATATATAAAATTAAAAATATTCAAGAACAATAACTAACTGTAAAGACAATTAATCATCGTTGATCCAACAGAAAATTTATAAAATACACACTGGAAAAGAATATTCTTTATAACCATTTCTATTTTGAGGCATTCTGTCTAAGATCCCCAACCATAGATTACGATTAGCTTAAAAACGTACAGTAATAAATCAGAGCTTTCCAACGTGACTCAGATTAACAATGGCTTCAATGATTACCTAATAAGATAATTTAGATTAAAGTGTAAAATGAATAAAATTCGGAGATGAAAATAATCTGATTAATCGACCAATAGCCCAAATTTTTCCTTAACAATTTAGCCACTTTTTATGAAGTTTAATTTTCTGAGCTGAGTAGTTTGATTGTGAAACTTTTATGGTTTTTTCCAAGCAATATCATCAGCACAAAACTTCAGATAGAAGTGATAGAAGTAGGGGAATTTAAAACTCCATCAAAACTATTCACCTGAACTACAAATTTCCACTATGTCAAAAGTTAGCAACTATGATAGACTAGAAATATGGTTTGATCTGAAAGTAATTATTCACACCACAAAGGTGAATATGTTCCAGTTGACAGATCAAGTTGTGTAAGATTATTAATAAGCACTCACTTTTTCCTAGTTATATACCATGTTTACAAAAAGAACAAAAATATCATAAACCAAGTTGACTACTCATTATATTATAAACAGCTATAATAAAACTAATGACTTTTATTGTATAGATATTTTTTAGCAGCTAATTATAAACGAATTTATATATGACGATTAAAGTTAAATGCTTAACTGTCTTATAGATCTTGCTATAAGTGAGACTTGGTATTTTGTTTTAGTCATGATCAGGGTGAGGCTAGTAGCGATCAAAATCCAATGAGCATCACTTTTCATCGAAATTAAATACACAAACATTTACATGGTTTTTTGTAATTGTATTATTATGAGATAGACATTATGGAGTTTATACGATGACGAATATGAAATATGGCGTAAAGATGAATAGATCATTTTGCTGAAATAGCTTTCTAGTGGCTTTATTTATATATTTGAAATCCTTTTTCCACAATATAAACGCTATACTTACAGTAGATATACAATCATAAAAAATTAACACAGAGAATAAATGTGTATATATACATGACCACTATCATCCATTTGTCTTAAAAGATTCTTAATCGATTCTACCTCGAAGTTGACTTGGTTCAAAACATAAGATATTTAGTTTGAAAGTTTTAAATTATACCGTTTTTCTATCAATAAAGATCATCGACCACTTAATTTATAAGTATATGGGAATACGACACAATGGAGTATATAGTAAGAATCCCTAAACAGATTCGGAATAGTATTAAAATTTGTCAGATTATACAAAATAAACTTTACATACAGAAAAACGATCACTAAGATAACATAATGCAGTAAGAAAATTAAATGCGCTGATTTTTGACTTTTTCTTACCTAGTGCCATATCATTGCTCTTGGAAAAAAACTCAGGCAACACTTTTATATATGCGCATGTGTAAATGTGCACAGAAATAATATATCACATAAAACCTTAAATATCCCATGCTGAACACGGAAAATAGTAACATTAGTTGGGTGTAAAAAGGAGATCACAGCGGGAAGTTGTCCCAAAAGTCTTAATTGATCTTATTGAATAAGTAGTGTAAACATCACAAACTTACCACAGTGAATACGTCTGGAAGTAAATACGCGAACAGGCGACGATTATCATCAGACAGCAACTAAAATTAAAATTTTTGTAAATTAACTTATCTCATAGGAAAATAATAAACATTTATATGATGTATCGTAAAAATTCACAGAAAATTAGAAGTTTTGAGTGAATCGAAAACCACAGTAATATAATGAAATAAACTGTCCATTCTAGCAATCATTTTCTACACTGGCTCTCAAACTAGACATTGATATTAGTCACGTTGAAGGCTGTTAAAAGCTTATTATAATACTTTGAAATTTAACTACAGTTGTAAAAGCACTCTGTAACCTCGGCGGGTAAGTTTACGTCATATAAACAAATTGATTAATAGGATGCCCAAAGATTGGGCCGAACAGTCAGGTTATGATGGATTGGAGAATGAGTGACCTAAAAGCTAATTTCCTCCAATTGTTTATAGCATTTTACTATAAGAAACCTCCACCATAATACAAACAAACTGTTACTATTTAGCTAAGTCCTATATGAATAGAATAACAGAAAAAATATCATTAAAAATGTAAATGAAATATCATAGATAATATGAAGATTATTAGCACGTAATTATCTCAGTGAAATAGATACAGTGATATAACTCGATTACTAATCCGATTAACTATAGCCAGCATTAAAAATAAGGGGCATAGACTTTTCCCTTCAAAATAATCCAGTCTCAGTTAATCTGTGAAACAGAAAATTGTTCATTGAACTGAGAAGTTTAACAATCTCATAGGGATGGGATAAAAATACAAATTTTATGACTGAAATTGTAAAGTCAGTTTTCTGAAGAGTATTTAATCAATAAACGTCTCAATAGGTAGTAGTTATGGTACTTCATCGAGAAGCATATAGCACGGACGCACAGAAAAAAGTCATTAACTAAAATATTTAGCAGCTGAGTAAATGCTAAGTGTATTAGCTATGAAATTCACTTAAAATAGACCAAAAAACAAAAAAATGCGAGATATTTTAAATATCATTTAGTGAACCAGTGTTATTTGCAACACGAAAATGAGGTCCCTATAATATCATAGATAATTGCAGGTATATTTATTTTTTTCTTATCCGACTATATTACCGAATTAACATAAATTAGTAACCCATTTTGCATAGATATTGCACAAATGTTAAAACTAAACGAAACATTATATAAATATTAAAAATGTTTAACAAGTCATTAGGATTTCAGCTAATAGAACGAAAGATGATTTATTCTTTTTTTTAAAAAACGATAGCTTTTTTGAATAAAGTTATATGGTTAGAATTACTAACTACTAAATTACTAAGACTTGTAAATTGAATTCCGAAGTATTTTCCTAAAGTCAGTAGTATTCTTCTACCAGACATTTTTAAGATTTAAATAAAGTAACTTATTTACCAAGTATGAACCACATTCCGAGTGTGGGAACAGAACCTAGGATTTAGTGGTTGTAAGTTGAACGTCTTAGCCAATAATTCATCGCTTCACTACGAATAGTTTACTAAGTAGAATTCACAATTCACTTCTTTTTTACTTACTTGCATATCCTTGAATAAAGAATCTCGTAAGTTAGGATTTTCTTGACTTGCACAAAAATTACGATAAATCGACATTTTCTCATCATTTACTTTGCTGTAACAAATCAAAAAAGAGAATCTCTGTGAAAAATAATATAAAGGAAGCAAAAATAGATCCATTTTTAACATAGTACTTCTATAAGTACATTGTTCCATAAAAAACAAAGTGAAAAGAACAGCTGAAAATTAATCTTGAAAAAGAAGTTTCCAGATATATTGCAGAGCATTGGAATGAATGACATAATAATACGAGTAAGTCTCAGCAATCTAACCTACATGACATAAATTTCACAGGTCACTTTATTACTAAATTATATTCAACGAATTATCACACACCTCATTAACCACACATTAAAACTAGGTAGTTGATTTAATCATAAAGATTATTGATAATGTTAGGGATGCAGAGGAATATACCAATCATTATCATGTTAAGTCTAATGATGTCCTTGGACCTTAAATGGGCATTGGCCATTATTTATTTCACTCGTTAAATATTGTACAGATGTTGTTTTCTATTTTTGTGGTACGATGTGGTCTGTTTGGTTGGTATATAAACAGAGTATGTTTGAAATACGATTCATATCTCAGAGGCTGTGACTTGTGTTCTGGACTCAACTGGCTGGGTTAGACAGCGAAGCAGGACCATTCAGAACTCTAGGTCGTTCGTACGTGTTTTACGTGTCACTGAATCGATCAATAAAACGCTGCGCATCAAATCTGCAATCCACCCGTTACAACAGATAAGAAAAAGTTTAATACTACCATTAAATATGTAGCTTAGTCCAAATGACACTTTTGACGTTAAGAAAATAACTTACCTAACTTTAAGGAAAAATAATAAATGATAACCGAGACGAGGTTGTCGAGTTTGCATCTCTGTTAACAATAATAAGAGCAATTCACGTTTGGGATCGCCCGGATTCATTTGTAAAAGATGACGGAAAGGAATAAATACCGGGAATTCTAAGCAATCTTCCAAATGTCTTGTATAGGAAAAGAAGAGGAAAGTATGATGGAGTGAAAATCAGTGTACTATATGCATTTGAACTATTTAAGATAAAAAATAACGTAAAGTATTTACAACCGAAAAACAGATCACATTATATGCCCTTAATTTCAACGTTCAAAAGTATAACTCAATGATTGAATGGAATTGTGAGTATCCCACTTCATGATGATCGAACCCTCTGTGATCGTAGGTACACGTTGCTGAGGATTAAAATGTAACGTCTATTTCTTTCTTCCATGTTTTTCAGTGGTTTTCCAGTCCTTAATTTGCTAAAGGTTGGAGCATTGAAATACTACATGATGAAATATATGAGAATCTATAATTGTGTGCAAAGAAACTTACTCTTCAGACCACTCAACTCCAACAGGCATCAAACGTTGTGCAAATAAACAGAACAGTAATTCGCATACAACAGCTGCTGTCCGACCAGCGATCTCTAAATCATCGAAGCTGTCTTCAACAAGTACCGCTTGAATGAGAGCCTCCATTGACTCGCACAAATCATTAAGAACAGACGCAGAGCGAAGATATACTACATTGAAAGAATAATTCGAAATACAACAAAATAATAATATCAAACCATAACGTGAACAGTAATCGGGGATAAAATAAAGTACAAACCAGATGTTTACAAAGTAATCACATCTTTGAATCTACGTATTAGTGAGAAACCTAATGAATATAATACCGATCTAAAAAAGAGAACACTTTTTGTATAAAGTTAAGCACTGAACTCTTGATAAGCTCTTATTGAAACAGGTTAAAATATAGCAGCTTACAAATTGAATTATCTCACTTCATTTTTTACGAAAATATGTCGAAAACGAACAAACCAATTTTTTACATAAGTGTATGAACTAACGAAATATCAGCTTTAATTCGAAACTTAAATGTTCTGATTAGTTCTGGTTGAACAAAAATATACTTGTGATTAGAAATGGTTATCCATTTTATGTATACATCCAAAAAACTTCGAAACTAATGGAATCTATCACGAAAAATAAGACAGAAACTCATTTAGATGACAGTTTATCAGGAATAGATTCTGTACAGCAAGAATTTATTTCATTTAAGGAGCTTATAACAGCCACCCAGTTTAGCAGCGTCTAATGCTCGCAGAGTAGGAAGTGGAATTTGTAATATGCTATGCTGTAAATAGTAATCATCTGAACTCCACAGGTACGTGTGATGAATGCACCATAAAAAAACTAAATTGCTATTGAGAATGACAATTATGTTGAAATAAACTGTTATTGTACATTTTCCTTTAAAACAGAGATAAATCAAATAAGTGATATACTACCAATTTTCATACAGTCCAAAACGAATCAAGAAAAACAACTATGCATTGGCTGATAACAACCGATTCACTTATGATGATTCCCGGTACAATAAAAATTATAAGTAGACAAAAAGACAACGATTGAATGACCATGATGAAGAGCTGTGGTGGATATTAACGGCTAAGAAGATAGAAACTAGTATCATTGAGAAGTAAAATTCTCCATACTTTAAAACTTATGACGAACATTGGTCAGAAAATAATAATGCCTGGTGATACTATCGATTGAAAGAATCAATTCATCGATTTACTAATAAATAAAGAAATCAGACAGGTCTGAAAAATGATTTGAAGAATGATTTATTCTAATGATTTATTTCTAATTTAAAATCGATACTAATTTTCGACAATGAGATTAACTCGGGGAAATTTATTTCGGTAGCATAGGTTGAGCCAATTTAGTAAAGGAAAACTAAGTCTCCATTAACTACCAGAAGCTATTTTCCAGATAATACTTTGATAACAATAGTAAAATTTATGTTAAGGTTGTAAAAAGATACATTAGTACTTCCATAATAAAAAAACGTGACTTCTAATTGTCCTGCTTGCAAACGAGAACAAATTTGATACTGTATCTACAAGAAAATAGGATCAACCAACATAATTTCTAAAATTATGAAACTAAATCTGACTGATTGCAAAAGTAATGAGTAGGGACTGTTGAATTTTTTAAATATAGACCTGCCACTAATATGACCAAGACATAAAGTAATGAATGGTGCTCGGAAGAATGTTTACTAAATGCACTCCTACTATTGCAGACTAGAGTGGAAAGAAATAATCTTTAACGTGAATTTCCTTTGAATCACTTGACTTAATAATTCATTTAAGGCTGTAATTTTCGAGTTTCATTCATTGAGGTGGAACATTTAGTCGTAACGCCGTAACGTATATATATATATAATTACCGGAGGAATTTTGTTCCTGATCATAGCAGCCATTATCCAAATCATCCAAATTTTGTGAAGCACATAAACCAATCGAAGAATTACGTATTAGGCCAACTTGTTTAGCTACATCACGAAACTGTTCCAATGCTGTCCGTATAGGTCCATCAAGTTGTTTAATCAGGGAATTTACGTCAACAGATTCGACAAAGTAATGAAATCTAATTTGATAATCTTGAAATCGACGCCGGAGACTATCTGAAAATGACGAACAATTCGCAACGAAGAATTATTAAACAGTCTTTTAACCAACAGAGATAAAACAGAAACGAAGTGAAGTCACTTTTTTTTAATGTTTAAAATCACACACCTACAATAGTTGATTGATGATGACAATTATAACTTCCAACTAACCTTAAACCATGATCAATATATATAACGAGAAATGACAAAATACATGAAAATGCTACTCCTCATCTATGTAATTAAGAAGTTTAAAAACCGTTCTTCAACATATACAGCAGTGAGAAATTTAAAGTACATACATCAAGTGGAATGCATCTTATGAAACTAATAAACGTATGAAATGACATCAACTATGACGGTTTCCTAAAAGAATAGTACTTAGGATTGTAGGAGTTTTATGTTACCAAAATTTTCGTTGCAACGAAGGTTAACTTATGTACCGAAAAATTAGTACGAACTCGTATGATGACATGATTTGTTCAAGCTAGGACAGAAACAATAAAACTGACCGTTCTTTTAAGTGACTCCAAAATGATCAGTATAAATGACATTCAATTCAAACACTAGTAATCTAAAAACCATCGGCTACTAGTGTTATTAAAGTAACGAAGAACAGTTAAACCGAACAACACTAACCAATTTTGAACTCCAGTGAATCTGGAGTATCTGGTTCATGGTCAACTGATTTCTTGATTACACGCCGACTTTCTACTGGTGGTGGGCTCCAGGTGGCAGTTCTTGTGAGTGCTGGTTTATTTTCCAAAATATTAATCTCCATTATATCCAAGTCGTCGGTTATTTGAACTTCTGTTAATTGTTGGGAACTACGTGGTAGAGATGGTAGTGTAGGCAACGTATTACGTGCAGGGATAATTGAAGTTTTTGAGTCATCCTGTGAAATAGTAAATGGTAATGGATTTTGCTGTAAAGTATTTGGTATGCTTGGCTGAAGACTTGGAATTATTTCTGATGTTGTTAAAACAGGTTTAGGAAGATTTTCAGTTAATGTAGAATTTAGATTTGGGGGGACAGCCCCAGCGAGAATAGCAGCGTGACCCCGTGTCAGACGAGGGTCTGTTGGTGGTCCACTATCTGTCATTAATGTGACTAACAAGAGACAAAGGAGTGGGTAGATGAAAGGTAATAAATAAACAAATGATACATTATAAAATTAAAATAAAAGTAAACATTTAAAAGTACGTTTTCAATAGGATGAGACGGAAATTTTTTAGGAACAATTACGTGACGTCACAATTATGGCCGTCAGTGTCCAGCTCTACATTCACAAATCTATAAACTAATTTTTTTTACAAATAGCTTCTAATTGTAAAAAATAACATTTTTACTAAAATACATCTTGTTAACGTTTAATTTCTCCATGATATATCTAGAGTTGGTTAGCGTTAGCAAATGGAAACAACTGGGGAAGATTCCCCAAGAGAGTCGGTTGGAGAATCATGGTGGGTGGCCTATGTTCCTCCACGAGTAGTAACAGGCGTAAGTAAATAATATCTAGAACTGTGGTTCAGCGGTTAAAGTGTTTGACTTCCGACCACTAAATCTCAGGTTCCAACCCAGCTCCGCCTACTTCGGTTTGGACAACCGAGTGGTATCATTAGCCTTCACACTTAGAGTGTGGTTTATACCCAGCTAACCGATGAATAAGTTAATTTATCTATATCTACGACACAAAAAGTAACAAAATGTATATGGAATTCGCGCCTCTACTTTCAAAGAATAAACTCTGATGGTTTATCCAATCACTTTACACTAACTACTGTTAGTCAAAATTAATTAAATACGCCAATAATTAGAATACTTGAATGATATAACTGATACGCGAAGTTAAAATGTGAAAAAACCAATAATACAATAACGATTTCATGGAACTTGTATTTCGAAAAACCAAACTTCTTGAGTTCTTATATTTGGGCATGAATATCGCCGAAAATTAGATCGCATAAGCAGTTGCATGGTATCTAGAAAACTAGCTTAAAATAATATATAATTACTTATTTGATATAGGATCAAAATGATAGTAACAAATCAGAAGGTTGATCAGAAATTCTAAATCGATAAGTCCACAGAAAATTACAAATTTAATGATTACTTTAGATATCTGTAATATCAAATCTAAAATATATCTAAGCCTGATTGTGAAACACAATTTTCACTTCTGAATGCAAGCACATAGCGCAAAAATCACAAAGAATCTGAAATACACGTGATTAAAAATATAACACAGCCAGCAAGCTATATAAGCTTAAATGTAACCAATAAAACATATCACTTATTCATCTCAATCCGTATATCACAAGCTACCGAGATCTATAAATTCATCCTACATGTCAACAAAACATTTGAGAAATGTGTACATTTATTTATTTTCATCCCGATTATGTTGTGCTCAGCAAACTTGCGAAAGCAAGGTTTCAAATAAAAACGTTTGTTTGTAATCGTGATATAACTATTGACAATCTAGGTAAAAAGAGAAAACCGGTAACTTACCTGGTGATAAAGACCTAGTGACCGTTAAAGATGTAGTAGTTTGATTGCGAGAAACAACCGTGGAATTCGCAACAGAGCTCAAGTTCGTGCTCACCACTGGGGTATCACCTGGTCCTGGCCATTTTTCAGGTGTCGGACGACTAGGGTTTTCCACAGGTGGGACTGCTATACTTGTCAAAGTAGTATTAGGCTCAAGACCCAACAAAACACGAAGTGATCGCAACAAATCCAAAGAAGACGAACGGTGTAAAAACTCGAATAGAGGAGCGATGCTTCTATAAACAAACAAAACGAAGTTTTATTAACCACCCGTGGAAATCCTAATGTGTAAACAGCTCCAAACCTGGACAACTGTGCATTGGTTAGTTACCACACATTAAAACAAGAGGAAGGCTATAGAGTCAAAACATTACCAGTATCAATGGTAGCTTAGTATTAAACATAGAGATGACGGTTTAAAGAGAAAAAATAAAATTCGTGAATAAACGGTGTACAATCATAATAATAGCCAAGACTTATGGTAGACAGAACGAGTCCATGTGAGTCACTGCAATCTATTTTGAGCCATGTGGCCTAGCGTCTCCAACTAATAGTGACAGATATCACATGTTCGCCAACCACAACGACCGTACCTAACGATACAACTCAGACGTATATATATATATACGTATAATATATATTTTCTAACCGGGCGAGTTAATGAAGGGGTACGGCTTTATCAATTGACTTATTTCTCTATAGTAAACTAAGCCTAACTTTAGCACTACTCACATCGCGATCCCACCATACGCGAGAAATGCATAGAATACATTCTTGCTTGAACACTAGCAATAAGTGGTACATTCTGAGGAAGAACCGACTGAATTTTAACTTCATTGGATGTTAATTTAGTTTTATCCCATAAAGTTAGTTTGATTTTGAGGACTAGGACAGATCATATCGAATAGATTAGCCTTTTTTAACGCTAAAATCCTTTCGTTTGACTAAACCTTCAAACGACTTAATTATTCTATAATTGCCTACAAAATATTATGCAGTATAATAAAACATATCAATATTTCACTTTCAGGACCAAAGTAACTTTGTTTAGTAATTTACTCGTAAAGGGATAGCTAGAACCTAATTCTTTAAACCCTCAAGGCTTTTAAAAAGAATATTGCATAAAATGTGTTTACAATTAATGAAACCAAGTGTCACCAATCTCAAGTAAATTATTGGGTCATAAAACAAATGACATCAGTAATATAAAATATAACATGATACTACTTGATTATACAGGTTTAAGTACACTAAAATGGTGCAAATCCATGACCCGGTAACTGATAGTTGTGTAACCCGACTTCAGTATCGTGTACAACATAAAGAGTTAAGATAAAAATTATATTTGACTTGTTGCCGTTTAATGATATGGAAGGTGAACATTGGTATTTTTAGAAGTGGGACAGTATTATTATAAGAATGAAGTTAAGAAGAAACTTTACAAAGCCTTCATGAATTAACTAATTAGGTTCACAGTTCCATTTACCATAAGTTTCACTATTTTAATAGCCGATCTTCAAAGTACGCATATATCACCGTGTTAGTATTGTAAATATTTGGTCATTTTGTAAGTAATTACAATTAGAAATATTTACAAACATCATATTTTACATGGTTTCTATAGAATATATGCAACTTCTTACTTCACAACACCTAAACGAATCATTTCCTCCAAACCAGAACGAACACCCATAACGATTCTTTCAGTCATTGGGGGATAATAGGTTCCAACAATCTAGAGTGAAATATTAAAATGTTGATATTTTAAAGAAAATTCATCAAAGTAGATACACGGTAATTATAAAGATATTAAGAGGTGTACACATAAGCAGGAGGCTGGTTAAATTGTTATATATATAATTCCAGTCGGAAATTTATGTACATGTTACACTTCATTTGGTAGGTAAAACTATATTAGAGAAAGTTTTACAACTACATATATAGTATAAATGTAACGATGAGTACATATCTGGAGAGAGTTCGACATGCATTGTTTACATCGGAGCAAAGAGCGTTTTGGTCTAAATCTAAACCACGATGTAGTTTAAGTCAGAAGTCAACTAAGTGTCCGATTTAAATGCTTCCACATTAAAGGTTCAACTACTGTCACAGTAAATATAACCCAATATCACTCAAAAATACAACTAACAAAGGCTATTATACAACTGTTGTTTGGATTTGATAGTGACTGAGGACAAAAATCAGGTGCCCAGTTTTAGTAATTATGTAAGAAAAAACCCTGGAATACAAATAAGTAGATAAATAGTGCATGATCCTTAGACAGTAAGTGTATAAGTTGAACGACTTTACCAATTACGATCTAATTAAATGAATAGACTTAACTAAATATGAAAAACGTTAAACAATACAGAAAATAGACTGTTCCCTGAACTGTTTTAACAAAAAAAAGTACGTGACAAAGCAAGTGCACTCATACAGTAATATTAACTTACTTTAATCAAAAAGTCAACAAGTGAAAATGCGATCAGCTGTGAACGCGGATTAAGATGATTCATAATAGCTAATAAAGCAGGTTCTGTAAAACATGGAGTTGAGAACAATTTTTGGTGACGAAAAGTGATATTAACTCAATCAAAACAAATGATTTTATGAAATATAAAGCTGTGTAACAAAAACAGACTCTTAATCAACTATGAAGAACCAGTTGTGCGAAACCTTACCCGCTACTCATAACGTATTATATAAGGGTTTATAAAGGATTTGAAAGATTGTACTATCAACTTTAGTTTTGACCATTAAACCTTACGTTTGTGTTCATGCAGACTACTGCCGACTGCTTTTATTATTAAATGTAAGTGCATTTCATGTACTTCTTAAGTTGTTGATTTACCTTTTCTCTTGGTTTTATTCAGACCCTTTCGGACACGATACCCTTTATGTACTTTCAGGCTGAACGCCAGCCTACTGAAGGCCAAAGATTACGGGTGTATGTCTAGCCTGAAAATTCTGTGATTTGATAAGCCTTAAGAAATTCAACTACAACTCAATTTTACTGAAGTCTACAAATTACTAAGTGCAACCGATGACAGATTTTTCCGGAACTAGGAAACCAATGTTTTTAGTCGTAAGTTCTCGGTAAATTACGGGAACGCGAACCAATGAAACTTCATGGTTGATATTAAGAAAGTAACGAATTTCAAGATACGAAGTGACATATTGATCATATATTTGTAAGTTTAGTATATAAAACGTGAAACATGGAATTCGTTTATTAACGTATGTATATAACATGGTTAGTAAACTATATGTTCAAACCAGGCAATATTCACAACGACAATTATTATTACCACTAATTTAAAGCTGTTTATCCTGTATCTGAACCACTAGACAGAAATCAACTGAGAATCCACAATACTTTCATGTTTTAGTCTATTCAGACAGACAGAACCTCGTACAAGGATGCGCCATCTTTATTATCATTACACTTGATGACAGTGTACAAAAAAGGGAAAAGTGCAGAAAAGAATAGGACGAAAACGAATCATACAATTAGAGAACTATGATGTGATATGACTATCAAATTGAGTTCTATATAATTCAATCATAGTCCAATGCGTAGTCTTTCTAGATTTATCAGATTTGTCAAAACGAAACGTTCACTTAGAGAAAAGTGATATTTACAAACTTATTCCTAGTTTGCAAGAGTAATAAAACTTAACTCCAGCACCTATCCTACCTGTATTTGAGTAGAGATAGACATGATAAATCTCATTTATTCCAACTATAACCCAATGTCCAAGGAGTCTAGCAACCATTTTTAAAAAGAATTTCGAATTTGAAAATTTGGTGAACGGAAACAAAGTAATGTAGTGTGAATAATATTACATATGAAATTAATCTACACAACAGTTATATAATAAAAAAAACTGAGCAGATTCAAACACATAGTTGGTAAGAGTCTCTTAAATAGTGGTATAGTGATCTAGACACCTAAACGTAAGCCAAAAGGTTTGCGATTCAAGCATCATTGTATTCTATTGATGTTTGAGTATTTGGTTACGTTAGCAGATGAACAGTAAACGTGACCTGCAACATTACATAGACTTATGTGCAGTTACTGAGTTATGTAATGCATTACTTTTATAAATGATATTAAAACGTTTTGTATTTTTTTAACCAATCCATCCACCCGGAACTTGGGTATGAGCCATACTGTGCGTGAAAGCTAATGGTACCACCCGAATGCCAAAACCGAAGTAGGTGGAGCTGAGTTGGAACCTGGGATTTAGTGGTTGGAAGTCAAACGTCTTAACTACTAAGTCCTTTGATTAAGTTACACTAATTTGCGTCTATATATTGGAATTAAGTATAAATCGCCTTATTAAGCTTTCATTAAGGCACAAATTTCCTCAGAAGTTTGAGAAACCGATCTTTTTTCATGACAGAGAACCAAACGTTTTTGATGGTATTATAAAACTGAATTTAACTTATGTTCAAAAAACCCGCGAGTATATGACTAACATAAAGTACTTGAAAGATCCCCCTTTTATTACCCAAGACTGATATCCGTATTTGAATGCTTCTGTTAAAGAAATTAACTTTATCACAAAATGTGTTTTCGTAATACGAGTAGAATATTATATATATATATATATATATATATATATATATATATATATATATATATATATATATATATATAAACTTTTGATAGATCAATCCATAATAAAATCTTACTAAATCTAGTTTAATTCCCAGGTTTTTGTTCTGGTCCTTCTACAAACTACATTTTTACAAAACGCAATTATTTTACTTGGAATATAGTTGAATATGAGGAAAATTAAATCGGTTTTGGAAATTATTTGACAACTTTAGCGAGTGGTAAAGGGGATTACTAATACGGTATTCAATACTATTCTAAATGAAATATTTATTGAGTTTTGCAAATCTCTAAGTTGATGTGCTATATACGCTGTCAGTCAGCTCCAACGAACTGAAATATCAACCTTTTGTGTTGGTAGTTTTCGTTTGAACTCCTTCAAAAGAAAACTACACTTAAGAAGTATTGTGAATGAACTAATTATTCACCAGTTTTCCACCTAGCAACTTCATTTCAACGAGACAATGTAAGTTGCATTGAGCTACAGGAGAAAGGCGAAAAACAAATATAGTAAGTCCGTACAAAATATCGAAGTTTAATTTAATTACGGATAACAAGATGGAAACACTTGAAATTATATTTTGTGATTCATAAGTAAAAACGGCACATAAACGTACCCAAATTCATTATACAATCATTTGGTTTGAAAAAGAGCCAATCATAAAACAGAGCCAATTTGGCATTAACAGTGGCAACAGGACACTAGTAAGAGATAAATATACAATGATATTAACGTGATGAGAATAACATCTAGAAGAAAATCGAATCGGAACAAAATGAAGTCGGGAGATAATACTAATTGTTATCCATAAACAACGAAAAATGTATTTCATGGCACTATGAACACTAGAAAAGCATGAAGGTAGTCTTGACATAATATCCATCGATCATAATCCACATGACTAAGATTTTAGTATAAGTGGTCACATGATACACACATTCCGAGTCTTCAAGATTCCACCTACTTATGTCCACCAAACCAAATAAATTCTCTGAGATAAGTTCTGTCTTCCAACTGTGAACAGGATATTACCATAGCAAAATAACCGATAGATTTTTTAACATGTATTAAGATGACTACTTAATTAACCACTAATTGAACTTTTGGCACAGCTAGCTGTAAACTAGGCATAAAACATCTTTAAAACTGGGATTTTAAAATGATTTGATTGAAGAAAAAACGGTAACCTCACGCTAGATTTAAGATAATGTTAATGAGCCTGTGTATCTTAATAAATTTCGTTTAAAAAACCTGAAAGTAAACTTTTCAATATGAATTCATTGTTGTGCTTAGATTCAGAAACAAACGATAAGTTTAACTAAGCAGTTTTAATAATAATGCTATTTTACTTGAAAAACAATCATAAAAGACTAATGAGACAGTTTTGTTTGACCCACTGTCTCCATTCAAATATTGTATCTTCAAAAAGCTGTGTTTAATGTAGGTTATAAGTAACAATTCCGATGACCATTACAAACCCTATTCATACAGAAAAATCATAGGATTATGAACACATAAGTGGTTCCTTTATTCCATATTTGTACTCATCAAAGAGGATATGATCGGAGATTATGAAATAAATTATTTTGATGAGTCGCTTTTAGAAAACCCTCAGTATAAAGAATCATCAAATAACTTAAAATCGACAGATGTCAACCTAAAGATACAAATTCATTATATTTTAAATAATAATATTTATAGCAATGATCCGAGAAACCGGATGAGAAAAAGTTGTGGTAATTTATGATACGAACAGAACACTTACTGTAGATTGAGAAAGAATCCAAGAAACCACATTCCATCGTGGTATTAAGGTGGAGGCTAACATTTCATTATCAGGATAAAAGTAAGTCACAACGTAACGCAAAAGGCACACACGAAGACTCTGACTTTCTGGAGTTGAAAAGAATTTCCTCTGGAACAAGTTTAAAATAAAATTCAAAAAAATGGGTATTAAACTGTGACTATGCTAACCCGAACTAAGTGGAAAAAGGATAAAATAAATTAATATATCACACTGGAAAACATGAATTAATTAGATCTGAGCTCACTTGGAAAAAGTCTTGATAACGATGAACAGGAACTCTCGGAACACAATGAACATTTTTCATCATCCAACGAACCCACTGTTCCATTTCATGTGGTATAAGGGTCTGTGTAAAACACTGAGGTGTGGTGATTTCCAAAATTTCAGCGGGACCTAAAACAATCAAAATTTATGCAATATATTGAAATGTCTTTTTTTACTGACATTCTATGTCTAATCAACGTATGTTAATACTAGGAGTGGCTGGATATGAAACAAATTAACACAGGATAAAATAAAATCATATAGTTGCATAAATATATTGAGCTGAATAAGGAAAGAAATAATTAACATTACTTGAAAAATGAGACGACAAAGAAGAAATATTTTGTAGTATATCATCCCACAAACGCTTCATAGGTTCCAGACGTGCGACGCCATGTAGGAGACGAATGAAATCACGGCCAATTTGGGCGCAACGGTCAAACTGTAACAAAAACGGCAAGGAATTTATTGAAAATACCTGGCAAGTCACAAGTCCTAACCATGTAAAGGAAACTTTATGAGGGCGTGTTGAAGAGATATTAACAAAGAGGTTTCCATTTAAACTTGCACGTACTCAAGTCAAAATGAAATTGTTTTTAGCAAGCTCGTCGTGATAAGTATCCGGTAAATAATGTCTAAGCATGATTAAGCTTAGAAATGATTATCCTGATAAAGGATCACGAGAAAATTACTCAAAAAGAAGAAAATGATCATAGAAATAGCCGTGTATTAAGTAATAGATGAGAAATGAGTACACAATCTAATAATTTGTAAGACAAGAGTTGGATATGGCTTTTCTAGCAAATACGTACACTGCAATGAAACATGAGGTACTTCGAAAGAATTGACAACCTTAATGCTCAAGGCTTACCACAACAGCATGGATGAATCCTCCCCTCTATTTTTCTCTCGATTTTGAATGCCAATAATCCGTCATCATACCTTCTTAGTGTCTTTTTGAACCCCATTTTCGATGCACATTCTTCCTGTCATTTCTACTACATTATTTCGATCTTTTTTGCCATCAATTGTGTTAATTTCACTTCATTGTGTTATTATGGTATGACAACCTGGACGAAGGCACACCAATACCAGGCTCTATGTTGATGATGACTAGCCAACTGACATAATAAATACTAAGAGTAGTTATAAACACCATAACATAGTAAACTTACTTATTTGCACATAAGAGCTTCGTTAATTTTTTGGATATTTCGTTCTAAGTCAACTATTTATACAGCTGTGTGGCTCAAAATTTATGATGGTTGTATGCTGGCCAGTTTACTGTCTATTTTAAAGTAGCTAAGCATTCGTCACTTTCGTCGATAAGAATCACAAGATCCATATAACACCCAAATTTCAAACACCTATAAAGGTTTACTCCAACAATCTTAATAAATAACAGAAACCTTAATCTCTGGAGACCGAACAGCGCTACAGTAGTTACTGTCTCTATGTAACATTTCTGTTGCGTCTTAATATATCTCACATTTTCAATAGCTAATTTCCGAAACGAGACAAATAAAGAGCAAAAACTCTCCATTTCCTATTTTCCAACTAACTTTTGTGAAATTAAATTACTTTGAAATTATCCGATGAAGAACCACTAGTGAAACAAGAAAGTCTCGATGCCAAGCATTTCAAAATACACTTATTAACACAAAACTAGTCAAGTGTAGTCACAATTACAACACATTAGTATAGCAGCCAAATCCCTTTGAGAAGACATGTGTTGGTATTTAAAGATGTAGCAGAACCTTTTATAAATGTCAAATGACCTTACATGGCACAGCTTTAGTCAGTAGTAGGAGATAGTTAACATAACAAACGTCAGTAATCATGATCGTTAATGGTCAACATATAGGACAGTATCTAAGGAATCAGACGGGGTCAAATACATCGAGTTCGATGACTGCCTCCTTGATTCAAAAACAACCTACAGAAGTATGGACGCGTACTAAAAATACTTACAGTAATGGGAAAAAATGCGTTTAGTGACATAACTGTAGCAAAAACATATGACTTCTTTACGACCAATGAAATCGGTTACACTTCTCAGGAGAAGTGAAAGTGACAACAGGTAGTCACCAAAATATCTTATATCCTTACGCTGATGACGGCTGCCTAGAGGAGCTGACACGATTAGAGGAAAAATGTAAAGTAGAAGTAGCAAGTTATTGACTCCATTATTTTAAATAATAGGAAAATGATGATGAACATGTAAACCTTTCAGCCTTTAACGAGTAATTACTGGTAGTCTTAGCAGTGGACAACAATTATGAACAATCAGTCAGTCATCTACGACGTAGGAACAGACATATATGCATCGGTCCAAATTGCCATACCGCATTAGCACAACAAGATGAACACCGAATTCACAGAAGTAGTTAATTCAATGGTGGTAATATATATAAGAAAGATTGCATATAATGATATGGTACAGGAAAAAAGAATTAGTTCGTAGAAAGAAAGATATAAAGTAATTTTAATCTCATAGTTTGAGGGAAGAAAGAGTGTATACACCTAAGTCATTGTGATCGATTCTCAGCCATGTCACCCAGTCTCTAACCATTGGTTACGAAAGTTCCGCAGACCCCGACAAAGTAGTCTGCGTCTACCAACATGGCCTACACCAGATGTTAGTGACTTCATGGACTGATGCCACGTTTGGTTTGACTGCCTCTAACTTTCTCCCAACCGTCCCCAACACTAGTCAGCATTGTGCGCCATGGTAATCAGTGTCCAGGCATACATAACACGTGGCCCAACCATCTCAGTCGATGAAAATTCATGACCTCATCAACTGATTTATCATCATTCCCGAATACTCTGCATCTAACCTCATTATTACTTACCCGGTCATCCCAGCGGATGTGAGCAACACTTCTAAGACATCTGTGACCAAAACTTACAAGTATCCTCTCCCCTTAATGGCCAATCAACAACAGACACCATCAATACAACTAGTTCATTAAAGTTGCGTTAATGGTAACTTAACCCTAGTTATTTGAATAACTTAGCAACTTTCATGTACGAACACCAAGTGAGACATACGAAAGTTTCTAATGTGATTTTATCCCATTAGAAAGACTTCATGCTTTCGCTCACTTCTTCCAATTTTTTTTAAGCTAGGAACGATCGAAACTGCATTCGTTATATAAACTGCTATTCTGACTACCACATAACGAATACCAATAGACTGAAGAAATGTATTATAATATGTCCCGACTTATACAAATCAAGGTATGACATTCTCTGGTGTTTTGAAAATATCTACATGAAGAAAGCTTACGGTGCTGAAGAGCGGAACACTATATATATATATATATATATATATATATATATACTTGGTTCAGCTTTCGATTGTTTTTCTGTCTCCCAATTGACCTTTTGCACGCAATACCATAAAAGCGTTTTAAGATTGTACAGAAGAGTTATTAGGATCAACTTAGCTATTACAGTTACCCCAGTACCCAATGAGATATCCAACAATAACCAGCTATTCAGTGTATGGGAATAAGTAGGGACATGTCAAAAAACAGCAACGTTTATTGCAGATCATAATAGAGTAAACCAAGGCTCAAGCATGGAAAGAAAACAGTCAAATAAATTGTGGATACAAATCTATTACTACATTCAGGAGGACATTTAAAATCACTCGATGCTGTCGCATATAAATACAGGGAATAGAACTAAACAGTAAAAGACTAGTGTATTTAGTAACTCACATTCTTCCGAACAAGCTCTTCAACCAAAACCAATTCTTTCTGTCGTAACTTGGACAGATGGACAGAAGGATTTGAAGTGACTAGTGTAGCCTGTTGAGGAGATAAATGATGATCTGGGATAAGCCGGAGTAAGGTATATACAGTTAGGGGAAGCAAAAACGGTTGTCTTTCCAAACTCCCTAGCCAATCTCTAGTGAACATAATTCATGAGTATAACCGAATTACTTGTTTTTTTCCAGAAGATCCGCCATGCTGTCTATGAGCCACAGGTTTTGAGGAGAAATATCACCAGCTTCCAAGAAAATTAGTACAAATTATGTGGGTTACTTGTCATTCTTCGATACACGTGGAGCATCAACACCTCAACACTGGCAGTCTTCGTCGATATAAACTCCCCCAGCAATGATATAAGGTTGCATCGAACACTTTGGGTCATTTTTGGCCACGTTTCCGCAACCAAGCGAGTCATTTCTGACAGGACATAAGTTAAGTTGTCACGAGAGGTCAATACAATATCCGTACAAAACGAATGCCTAGGATCTGGCTCAGTAAGAGCCAGATATAACAGACCAGCTTGTAATGCTCTCTGGTCCTCATCAGAACCGGAACGATTGGCCTAAATGGATATATGATACACAAACATTGGTGTACCTGCGAGTCCACAACATTGGCCTCGGACTCCCTTAACTTCTTAACAAACTTTCCAGCAGACTGTAGAGGCTAAAACAAATATAAGTTAGCCACGGGATTTCATTTACTATTAGGAACTTCGGAGGGTTATCTAACGGTGTAAGCTTCAACAATGGTACTATCTGAGGCTCCATGTAACGAAGCCCTACTTAAGTGATCTCAAGGTCAAAGCAAGGCTTCCCTGAGCGGAAAAACGGAAAAATCTCAAGGTTACTGAATGATTCAATTCAACTCCGTTCTGGTTGTGACGGTGGACTACAAGGTCTACGTTTTTCCCTGTGATATAGGTTCCTCACTTAGCCTGCCTTTCGAATGTATCTTTAGAAGAAGTTGTACCCAAGCTTCGAAGCAAGCAATTTCTCTAGATGATTTGTATGTGAAGGTTGATGAACAAACAATTGGTTTCAAGCTTGTGAAGTTTTTGGATGTCCTTGCAAATATTGTGCTCTGTAATACAAAAAACGTGAGGGTTTAATGTGTAAAATTATTACTATATTGTTTTAAAACTCTGAGTCATATTTACTTACTTACGCCTGTTACTCCTAATGGAGCGTAGGCCGCCGACCAGCATTCTCCAACCCACTCTGTCCTGGGCCTTCCTTTCTAGTCCCATCCAATTCTTGTTCATTTTTCTCATATATATCTCCATTTTCCGGCTTAGTGTGTCCTTTGGTCTTCCTTTTTTTTACGGCCTTGAAGATTCCAAGTGAAGGCTTGCCTTGTGATGCACTTGGGTGCTTTCCCTAATGTGTGTCCTATCCACTCCCAGCGCTTCTTCTTAATTTCTTCCTCCTCTGAGATCTGGTTTATTTTCTTCCACAATACATTGTTGCTGATAGTGTCCGGCCAATGGATCCGAAGTATTTTGCGTAGACAACTGTTCATAAACACCTGTATCTTCTGGATGATGACTTTCGTAGTTCTCCAGGTTTCCGCCCCATGCAGTAGAACTGTCTTGACATTTGTATTGAAAATTATTATCTTGGTGTTGGTTAACAGAGAGTAGTTTTGAGTTGCAGATGTTCTTCAGTTGTAAACATGCTACTTTTGCTTTGCCGATACGCGCATTCACATCAGCATCAGATCCACCCTGTTCATCAATGATACTGCACAGATATGTAAAAGATTTTACATCTTCCAAATCTTCTCCATCAATTGTGATTGAATTGGTGTATTCTGTGTTGTATCGGAGAATCTTGCCTTTCCCTTTGTGTATATTGAGATCTACTGCTGCTGAGGCTGCTGCCACACTGTTCGTCTTCTCCTGCATTTGTTGTTGCGTTTGGGATAGAAGGGCCAGATCATCTGCGAAGTCTCGATCGTCCAACTGCATCTTAGATGTCCATTGTTTCCCGCGCTTCCCTTCAGACGTTGACGTCTTCATGATCCAGTCGATCACCAGGAGAAAGAGAAAGAGTGAGAGTAAGCCACCTTGCCTAACACCGGTTTTCACTTCGAACGACTTTGTCAACCGTCCTCCATGCACGATTTTGCAGTGTAATCCATCATATGAACTCTGTATGATATTGACTATCTTCTGAGGCACGCTGTAGTGTCGAAGAAGTTTCCATAGTGTTGTTCTGTCCACGCTATCAAATGACTTTTCGTGGTCAATGAATTTGATGTAGAGTGATGAATTCCATTCAATTGATTGTTCCACAATGATCCGAGGAGTTGCGATTTGGTCTGTACACTATCTATCCTCACGGAATCCTTCCTGTTGGTCTCGAAGTTGGGCGTCTACGCAGTCCTTCGTCCTGTTTAACAATACCCTGTTGAAGACTTTCCCGGTATTGAGAGAAGAGTGATGCCCCTGTAGTTATCACACTTGCTGAGATTTCTTTTCTTTAGTATCTCGGTCAGGTGTCCTTCTTTCCAGTCTGTTGATACTTGATCTTCATCATAAATCTTGCTAATGATAATGTGGAGTATCTTTGCAGTTACTGCTACATCTTTCAGTGCCTGTCATGGAATGTTGTCTGGTCCTGCTGCTTTGCCACTCTTGATTTGCCTGATGGCCATGCTGATTTCTTCAATTGTTGGTGGGCCAACATCGATTGGGAGGTCCATGGGTGCTGCTTCGATGTTGGGTGGGTTCAGTGGAGCTGTTCGATTCAAGAGTTCTTTGAAGTGTTCTACCCACCTGTTCTGTTGCTCTTCAATGTTGGTGATTACCTCGCCTTCCTTGCTTTTCACTGGTCGTCCTGGTTTGAGGTGATTTCCAGAGAGTTCCTTTGATATGCCATACAGTTCTCTCATGTTTCCTTCTCTTGCAGCCTTTTCCTCCATCGTTGCTAAATCTTCCACATATTTACGTTTGTCGGTTCTGATACTCCTCTTCACTTGTTTGTTTACTTCTTGTATGCAGCTTGTGTCTTGGCTTTTTCTGCTCTTCTTTGACTGGTATTGATTGCTACCTTCTTGTTCCCCCTTTCTTGAATCTTATCCAATGTATCAACAGTGATCCATTCCTTGTGATGGTGCTTCTTATGACCCAGGACCTCATGACATGTTGAAGTTATTGCCTCTCTTACCCCTTTCCAGTTGCTATCCACAGTAGTTCCTTCTCCATTGAATAGATCATAAAAGGTCTGGAACCTATTGCCGAAGAGTATCTTGAATTTGTTGAGTTTGTCAGTGTCCCGAAGAATGACGTATTAAGCTTTTGTAGTGTTGCCTGCCCTGTTGTCCGGTGCTTCTTGAGTTTCAACTTCATCTTGGCGATCAGCAATTGATGATCTGATGTTATATCAGCTCCTCTCATGATTCTCACATCATCCATCGTCTTCCTGAACTTTTTGTTGATGCAGATATGGTCTTGTAGTGAGCCCGACGTCGGGCTCACTAATGTAGAATTATGGTCTTCTATGATATTAGTACTGCTCTAATAATAGACCTAATCCTAAAATTGTAGATTTGTCATGATATAACTGCCTAATCTATAAGATCTTACGTGGAAGTCGCATCATCGTCTACACCAACTCACTGTATCGTATCAATTACCAATACATGATGAAGAACAAGGTTAGGCTAGGGAAGGAACAATATATTTAATATGAATAGAAGATGTAAGGTAATATTCAGCAGGGACCACTGCCCGCCTAGTTTCATATTTTCGAGTTCCATCGCTAAACAACAAGGATGACACTTCTCCAAAAACGTACGGTGAGTTTCAGCTATAAGTTTTTTGCAATCACAGGGTCATTTTAAATGACTCGTTCAATGACAACCACACAATTATCTGGATTCATTCGATTGTTTTGATCCGAGCGAGTGGCAAAAAACTCAACAGCATCATGCATTCTGGAATTAACTGCCATACTGCATGTTTTATTCTGGATACTTGTGGATCATTACTACTCCTCACGAATGGCGTTATATATGTCGTCCACTGAATAATCTAATCTTCATAAATAATCCAGGCGAGTTCAACCATTTTACTGGATGATTTTTTGTGCTTAACATGTATATATTTTCCAGTTGCTTTGGTCACATATTTGTAAGCGTCCCTAGGCTAAATGCAGTAACTTCTTATGAAATGTTTATAACGCGTCATATTCCTGCCTGAAGTTTCACAAGCAGTCTTTAAAATTATGTATCTGGTCATGTTTATTATTTTTAAATTTTCATATGCGTCAACAACCTGCATGTTAACCTGGCCCGTACATACGTTACACTATATCTTCATGTCTTCTAAATTTACAAATTATCTGAATCACCTTTAACATTTATCACTAAACCCATCACAGTCGTTGTTGCTAATCGTATTTGGGTTTATGGATTAGCCCGAAATGCGAACAGTTTAGATAATAAGATTGAAAATTTAGGTACTATCAACTGCACTAGTAAAATAACTAAATCCTCAGGTAGCTTTTGGTTAAACAAACGTTTAAAATCAAAACTCCGTAGCCTACTAGAATTAACACTAAACGAATATTTCTGGATTGAAATTTATAATTAAATTAGACGTCTCGGATTCTTTAACGTTATAAATTTCTGATAATTTCGAATCACCTAAAGCAACAATACCTATTTTTCCACTGACTAATCCTTAATCATCACTATAACTAGTTAAACTTAATAGTTTCAGGATATCGTCATAAAGCATTGTCATGACTTGACAATCACGTAATATGCTTGGTAAAATTAATGAAACTATTAACAAAATCGGTCAGCAAATTGACTTATAATTATCACTAGTGTTGTTTTTCTTTTATCTTCATTCACTACAGATAATTACAGTATGTTTCTTTATCAATCGCTCATTCAGTAAATATCTCAAAACCTTGTCAGTCTAATTGATGGTTTAGCGACACAATCGTTCATGCAAATAATCAGTATAAACAGTCGAGCAAATCTCCTGCAAACTGAAAACATCAATGTCGAATTTACCCCAACACTGATTAAGGTTCAAGCCATCATCATAGACATGAGTTGGGAGTGTACTCCCCTTGGTTACAACTTATGTTCTCCCTGATAATCACATGAGCATACTCACTATTAATCATCTTGTAAAAACTTATTTAGCCAAATACATCTTACAGCACCACATCACTTCGTAATATGATACACAGGCTTAACTGATTTCAATAACTTATAACCACACTATCTCAATTAAATCGTATTCCGCCTTATGATAAACTGCATACTTGCAACTAATTTGTATGCTCAATCAGCCGGCAAGCATAAATATAAATAAATAGTCTTCCGCAGATCAAAACATTGAGTCTAGAGCATGTCTCTTACGAATACACTCATGTTTAACTATTTGTTCCTAGCTATCTGTCCAAAATTCATATAAGTATCACGTATTTAAATTTTGTTTTGATAAACATTCATGTGTATTAGTAGTATTACTAAATTCTATCACGGTCAAGTAAAAATGAGGTTGAGAAAACCTCCCCGTAACCAAATAAACCGTATCAAACTAACTGGAACACTAGTTGGAATTCTTCTCCACGGTAATACTTTTGTTCTTTCAGTTAGCCTACTAATACAGATGCAATTGGAATTCAACTCATATGGACAACTTACCGGCATAATCGTTATTTGACTTCATAATTTAAACCAAAACTAATACCAATATTAACATTTCTACAATATTCATTACTTTAATATTTCTAAACACAAAATA